GCCCATATAGATATTAACTTCCCTTATATTATAATAGTAAATGTTGATAGGTTATTACAATGCTCCCCTGTTGTTTTCCTTTTTTACTTTTCCAATTTGGGACTGTGATGGTTCATTTTATGTGTCAATTTGACTGGGCCACGGGATACCCAGTTAACTAGTTAAACATTATTTCTGGGTGTGTCTGTGCGGGCAATTCTACAAGAGATTCATGTTTGAATTGGTGGACTGAGTGAAGCCAGTGGCCCTCCCCAGCGTGGACCAGCATCCAATCACTGAAGGCAGAGGAAGGTTGAATTGCTCTCTGCCTGACTCTTGAACTGGGTCATCGGTCTCCTACTGACCTCAGCACTCCTGCTTCTGAACACTCCATCTCTCAGGACTTGAACTACAACCCAGCTTCCTGGGTCTCCAGCTTGTAGACTTCTCAATCTCCATAATCATGTGTGCCAACCCCTTACAATAAATTTCTCTATATTATATACATCTCCCATTGGTTCTGTGTCTCTGGACAACCCTGACTAATACAGGGACTAATCATTTTTTTTTGTTCTGTATTTTGTGGTCAGCATGTACGCATTTTAACCTTCCTGCACTGAACCTGTCCATCTCTGCATTGGTTCATTGGTAATTCCTTTAGCTGCTTCCAGTGCCCGAAAATCCTTTTCCTTTCCAGATGGATATGTGTAGCCTTGTTTTATTTCATAGGTATATATGTACACACACATATATATGACACTAAATTTAACTCAAAAATTACTACTTTTGGTTGAAGTAAGTTATCATTCTAAGCCTTAGACTCTAAGCTTATTTTCCTGTCTTGATAGTAACCTTCCCCCAGAACACACATTGAAGGATTTTATCTCCCATTGTTTATAACAGATTACATATATATTGATTTGGGGAATCTCTATTTGCCTCCCAGGCCTAATTTTTGGTTAGCCCATTTTTGATAAATACTGTTTCCCAACAAGGAACTTTAGTATATGGTATAGCCAGGATTACTTTTATTATAAAAGTATTCTTTTTTTCCACACTTATTTATTTTGTCAATTTTGACAAAGTAACCTACTGGAATTATAAATGATATTGCCTAACTCTATAAGTTAACTTGAATATTATTTTAATCTTCACCATTTCAGCTCCCTGGTCAGCGGGAAAGTGTAACTTCCCATTTTTCACCAGAAGTCATATGATTACAGACTTAAGAGAGTTCAGATATCATTCAGTTTCTAGTTCTAGGCCATCCTGCTCTGCACTTATCCCATTTTACAGATGATCAAGCCAAGGCCCCCAAACCTATATCTGGTTAGGGAATAGCTGAAAATAAGACTTATTTCATCTGGCACTTTTTCTATCACACCATTTATTCAAGTCTTCATTTGCTTCTCTTAATGCTTTAAAACGTTTACAGATGTGGGTGCCCGGGTGGCTCAGTTGGTTGAGCGTCCGACTCTTGATTTCAGGTCAGGTCATGATCTCGGGGTAATGGGATTGAGCCCTGGGACGGGCCCATGACAGGCCACCATTGGGCTCCAAGCATAGTGGGGAGTCTGCTTGACATTTTTTCCCTCTGCTCCCCCCCCCTCTCTCTCTCTCTTTCTCAAAAGAATAAATCTTAAAAAAAATAAAATATTTACAGATGTTAGTTAGGTATATCCCAGTTGGTTCATTTCTAGGACTTTTCTAGATTGCCATAGAAAATATGGGCATTGATACGGAAATTTAGGCATATGGTTTCTTCAGTGGAGAGCAAAAACACAGCTTATTCTCACTTTTTTTTTTTTTGGTAGGGAAAAGCAAACTGGCTTTTGAACTGATCTCCCATTTTCTGGGTTACTCTTGTCTTTTTAAGGATTTTATTGTGAACAATAGTTTCTTATGTACTACAGTCTGCAGGGAAGTATGTTAGGTACACAAAGAGGTAAAGTTACAGAATCTTGCCTTTCTAAGAGATTCTCACAAATTCCAAACATTAGATATAGAGTATCAATTTCAAACAATAGAAAATCCCAAATAACAGTGGTTTAAAGAAAATATGGACTTGTCCATGTAATGAGAAATCTGAAGGTAGGCAATCCATTACATTGGTTACACAGTATCATCAGGGACTCAGGCCAACTTCCTGACTTCCACTTTGATATCAGGGTGTGGGGCTCATGATCATGTATATCAGAAGACTGCTAATGCTCTAGCCATCATGACTAATTTCCAGGGTGAAGGAAGACCAATAGGCCAGTACTAATCAAGTCAGATCTTCCTAAACTGGTTTTCCTGGAAGCCTCTCGGTGATGTCTGCTTTTGTCATTGTCCAGAACTGTGTCAAATGACCACCACTAGCAACAAGGGAGCTGGTGGGTGAAACATTTTTAGCTAGGCACACTGCTACCCTCAATAAAATAAAAAATCTGTCTATAAATAAAGATGGGAGAATGGATATTGACCAAGAAGCTTATAGTCTCTACCACTCAGCATCCATGGTAAAACATAAACAAGGGTTTTCTTTAGACTAAGACCATTTGCTAATGAGAGATCGGCACGTGGTCTTCATGGTTAAGTTGGACTTAGACAAATGGTGGTGGGCAATAACCCCAGTTTAGAGATAAAGAAACTGAATATTTGGCCAAGGTCATGCATCTTAAAATGTAAGATACCCTGAATTGGGTCTTAGGCCAGACTCCATGTTTTTTCACAATGTCACAAGGTTAAATTTATTTCTGGAGAATAAGTTTATTTATTGGGATTAGGAGGGATGAAGATGAGTGGGATACACTTCTGCTATTTCTTGACAGTTTCTAAAATCGAAACCTTAGGGGGACTCTACAAACTCTTCAACCAACTAGCAGTGTGACCGTGGACAAGCTAATTAACCTGCCTGGATCTGAATCAAATATGAAACCAGTCAGACATTAGAAGAAAAGAACACTACAGACCGCTAGTCCTCATGAACATGTATGCAAAAGCTCTAAACAAAATTTTTAATAAAATTAGATGAATAAAAAATTTAAAAATGCAATCTAACTATATTTTCTGATCCAGCATATATGTGTGTGTATAGATCTATATCTTTATCTATAAATCCTGGATTCATTCTTTTCTTTATTTATTGTAATTTTTGAAGATCTACCTAGGAGGTTCCCATCAATGAGCTAAACACTATACATTGTAGAAGAATGAACAAGGCTGAAGCTTACAGTATTGGGCTAGGGAAGAATTAAAAAAAAAAGCTTCAAATGCTGTTGTATGGTTTATTGGTTTTGCCACCATTTCTGAATTGATATTGTGCATCAAAAGCTAAAAAAGAGGCATAACTTTATTGGAAGCCTCCTCTATCAAAATTCAAAAGAGAGGAAGGGGGAATGGCAGGAGCAATCTCAGAAAAGGATACAAAACGCTGCATTTAGAGTAAAGCACACACTAAACAGAGCATCCAAGTTCCGCAGGTACAGATTGGAGGATGGGAGATGCTTGGTGCTAAATGTACCTTCCAGATGATATATTGTATAGTACCTTTCAAGTGAAAAGTGTAAGAATTAGGAATTTTTGGCACTGAGAGAGGGCTCTGTGTGTGTGTGTGTGTGTGTGTATCTCTATCAAGAAAATCTCAAGAAAATCCTTCTGATTTCTCTTCTTGTCTTCTGCTTGGTGACACTTCTATTTATCTCTATAAAAAATAGTGCTATCCTGGTTTTGGGAAGCCACACTTCTGATCCTGATTCCTACATACTGATTGGTTGTGTGATATTGATAAACCACTAGCTATACTGGCCCCATTTTCACCATGGACCATTTAAGGTAGGTGGCCAGATGATCTTGCCTGCACCTTCCAGCTCTAAACAAAATGCATGGCCTAGGTGAGTGATCTCTGCCACTTGGATCCCAAGCACACAGCATGCTTAAAGTAATCACATTATTTTAATATGAATTCTCTACATACAACCTTATGACATGGCATGCAAAACACTGGAAAAATTACATCACTGGAATCATCCAAAATGAGTTTGATCACTTAACATTGCCGTGCTGTAACATCTTTGATAATATTATTTGCCCAAGAGAAAAGGAAGCACATATGCATATAAAGATTTGTACAGGAGGGCGCCTGGGTGGCTCAGTTGGTTAAGCGACTGCCTTCGGCTCAGGTCATGATCCCGGAGTCCTGGGATCGAGTCCCGCATCGGGCTCCCTGCTCAGCGGGGAGTCTGCTTCTCCCTCTGCCCCTCCCCCCTCTCATGCTCTCTCTATCTCATTCTCTCTCTCAAATAAATAAATAAATAAAAATCTTTAAATAAAAAAAAAGATTTGTACAGGAATGTTTCTAGCAGCTTTATTTCTAATAAGGAAAAATTGGAAATAATATACATGTCTATCGATAGATGACTAGATAAATATATTGTGGTATATCCATAAATGGGATACTACTCAGCATGAACAAGGATTCCATTTATATGCAACTCAAGAAAATGCAAAATAATCTGTAGTTCCACGATACATACAATTCTGCAAAGTAAAACAGATCAGTGTTTGGGCTGGGGGCTGGGAAATGGAGTGGGGAAGGGTGGTGGAGGGAAGGGCCGGGGGGGGGGGGGGGGAAGCATGGGGAGGCGGTGGGCACGCCGGAGCAATCAGGTGGGCAAGGGAGAGGGGGCTAGGGAGGGTCAAGGGAAGGCCGGTAGGGGTAGGCGTGGAAGAGAGGTAGGAAGAGGTACTTGGAGGCGGGCGGGAGTTGGGTGGTGGCAGGACTTGCGAGGGTGGAGGCAGGGGTGCCAGAAGCAGTGGGAGGAGAGAAGCAGGAGGAGGAGAGGCAAGGGTAGGAGCCCGGCTCGACGGAGGGAGGCGGGGCGCGCGGGGAGGGAGGCGGGGCGCGCGGGAGGGAGGCGGGGCGCGCGGGAGGGAGGCGGGGCGCGCGGGAGGGAGGCGGGGCGCGCGGGGAGGGAGGCGGGGCGCGCGGGGAGGGAGGCGGGGCGCGCGGGAGGGAGGCGGGGCGCGCGGGAGGGAGGCGGGGCGCGCGGGGACGGTGTGCGTCGGCTCTGAGGGGCCCACGCGTGCGGCGTCATGGCACGCCTGCTCCGTGCGTTCAGGGGTTTGCCCTTTCGAGGGGCGCCCTTGCGGGCCGTGGGGGGCCCAGCGGGCAGAGGCGGCGCGGGGGCCAGTCCCGACGACGCAGGTAGGACGCGGGCCGCGCAGGCCCCGCCGCCGCCTCCTGGCTTTCGGTTTTACTTCACCTGCCTGGACTAGAGGGCCCGAGCGCTGGTTCTGCACCTGGCGCTTCCTTCTCGAGAAACTATTTGGGTGCGCCCGTGTCCGCCCCTCCTTGCGGTCCTGGACGGTGGGTTGTGCATTTAGAGAGGTGTGGGCGATTGTTACTGATTTCCTCCCCCCCGTAAAATGTCGGGCTCAGGAGCCCCTGGCTCGTATCCCCGGACTCCAGGTGAACAGTCGCGGTGGTTGGGTCAGCGACCAGACACCGCGCGCTCCCTCCTGTAATGGCCTGTGGTCCGTTACACTGTCCCCCTCTTAAATTCTGCGTGCTTCTTTTCCTAGGTGAGAAGCAAGCAGTTCAGACTCTGGATTCCTGTGGGTTTAATTCTTGCCCTGCTGTTTCTATGTGTGTGTGCCGGACCCAGGGAGACGTGTGGGCTAATAACTGGTTCCCCTTTAGACTGATAATCATTGTTCGTCGTTGGCTATGAGACAGACCAGGGAAGTGTGTGTGTGTGTGTGTGTGTGTGTGTGTGTGTGTGTGTGTTTCTTCGAAATGCCTTTGGCTCCTCTGTTGGACTGTGGCACATTTGCCTTTCACCTTTTAGTATGGAGTCACCTGGGGAGACCTGTGTCAATGGCCCTGTATTTCAGATATATTTCAGGGTAATTTAGTGCTCCCTGTGCATTGGCTTCATGGGCAACTGCCCCGCTGTCCCATCTCTGAATCCGATTGTGTTATGTATCCATTGAAGAAATGTGAAGATACCTATCTCCTCTGAAAATGTATCCAGTCGCTTGGACTTCTTTTCATCCCCTGAAGTTTTCAAAATGTTTTAAATAAATAAAAGCACAGGCAGTGTGGAGTAGTGGCTGATCCAACATGACTTCCAGTCATGGCCTTCAGCACCTCTTGGTGTAGTAGTCAGCCAATCTGATGATATTTGTTGCATACCTACTGTGTGCCAAGCATTGGTTTTCTGAGAACCACAGGTGATGGAAACATCATACTTGTGGGCTGGAGCTCTCCTCATTCCCCTTTATAGGATAGTGGTTTCAATGGAAACTTGTCTTTTATGGTTGTACTGGTGATGTCAGAAATAGCCTAATGAATTGCCTTAGGATCAGAAGTTCTTCAGCAGCATTTAAAATTTGGCCAAACTCCAGTACATAACAGGAGCTGTGTAACTTATCAGACACCCCCTCCCCCGGGGGTGTCTCCCTTCCTTATTCTAAGGAACTGATTAAAAAGAACGAAACTATGTGTACAGAGATGTTTTTAACAGCCCTGCTCTTAAGAACCAGAAACTGGCTATAACCCAAATGTCCATCAGTTAAGGAATGCTTAAGTAAACCAGAAAAGTTCAATTCAGCAAACTATTAGGCACCCATTAAAAAGTATAGATAGGTAGTAGTTGGTGGCTGAGGGCTTTGGTGTTGACAGTGCCACTTACTGGCTCTATGTCTTTGGGCACGTTCTAAACTTGGGCACGCCCTAAACTTGGTAAGCTTAAACCTGTTTTTTTCTTACATAGAATAAGGATAATGATAATAATAGGGTTGTACAGAATAAATGAAAAAAAATTAAAATGCTTCATCACAATGATTGGCACTTAGTAAGCACACAATAAATGTTCATTATAAAATTACATAAATAAATGGAAAGGACAAAAGCACAGCTACATTTAACCTATGTTATAGACTTAGGGAAGGTTGAAAGAGAAACGAGAAGATGTTGATAGTGATGGAGGACAGTTCCACAGCACTAAGGTTTCTGATATGCGAGAGGTACCACCCCTATGATTTTGTCGTCAAGATTAACCAGAGCAAAGTCAATGCTCAGTCTCTCAGTCGAGACTGAAAGAGGAAAGTAAGGAGTATCCTGGTGAAAACTGTTGTTTCAGGAAAACACTCTAGAAATACTCAACTAGGAAACCATCCTGAGCATTGCTTCAACCAGTCCAGTCACTGGGGTGGGAAAGAAGACTAGTCTGCAAATTAGAGTGGGCTGGGGATTCGTTCTGTGCCAGTTCGTAATAGATAGTTAGTCTCAACAAGTATTTATTGAAACAAGACTTGTTTGTGTGTGACACTTGGCAGTATAGCAGCTGTGGCCGGAAAGGTTAGCAAAACCAGAAGGAGATAACCGGTAGGTGACCATATGACCAAGAGAGGGTGTTCTTTAAAGATGAGAAGATGTAAGCCCACCTCAGGAAACACGTGACCAAGAAGAAAGACAGCCTGTGCAAATCACAGCACAAAGAAAGAAAGGAAGCCAAAGGACTGAGTTTTTCAAAGCCTAGTTCAAAGGAAAGCTGTGTAGCTATCTAGTACAATAGCAGAGCACCCAAGTCTTTTGATGGTGAAGATAGCAAGAGAATGCAGAGGGAATCTGGAAGACATGTGGCCCCAAAAGGACCAATTCAAGGTGCAGATGATGTGGGTTCAGGACAGGAAACACCTCAGTCATGCACAAAAGGATGGGAGGACCAATGCAGAATCCTCTCTGGCCACTGCTGGCCAAGTAACCTTACTCATTCCTAAATTCTCACTTGTTGTGTGTCGTATGTTCGGGTACCAAATTGCTGTTTGGTAAAACCGTGCAGAATTTACTCATGATGCAATTTTCATTCAGAATTTAGTTGTTTCCTAAAGCATAGTGTATTAGTTGGCTGGAACAGCCACAACAAAACACCACAGGCTGGAAGGTTGAACACAGAAATTTATTTTCTCATCATTCTGGAGGCTGGAAGTTCAAGATCAAAGTATCAGCAGGGTTGGTTTCCCCTGGGGCCTCTCTGTTTTGCAGATGGCCGTTTATCTGCTCACACATCCCTAGAGTCTCTTCTTCTTCATATAAGGATACTGGTCAGATTGGGCCCATTCTTACGGCCCCATTTTAACATAATCACCTCTTTAAAAGTCCCATCTCCAAGATACAGCCAAATAGATTAGGGCCTACCCATATGACCTCGTTTGACCTTACTTATCTCTTTAAAGGCCATATCACCAAATACAGTTGCATTCTGAGGTGCTGAGGTTTGGGACTTCAACATACGAATTTTGGGAGGACACAGTTCAGCCCATAACACCGTGGTTACAGAAACCTCTGTAAGTGGTGCAGACCACAGATATGCTGACCTGAGAGCACCTAGCTGACCACTGGTCATTTTGCTATCGAGGCAGAGTTTGTCTTCTCTTGACAGAGTCTTCCAGGCTGGCAGATTTACAGTCAAATTTTGCACAGTTGGTGCTCAAAGAGCAACTAGTCTGAACATGGTTACCCACCTATGAAACCTTTCATACACACAGTATAAAAGGGACATACTGATAAGGATTAGCGGAGCCATGAAAAATGTACTTTCTGATTTAGATGAAGGAGTAATTCTTCCATCTAACAATTTAAGTATTAGTTTTAAATTTTAAGCTAAAAAAAAAAAAAAAGAGGGAGGAGGGGAGTATCTGAAAACAAGTAGTCACTCTAATAGGTGTAGTAAAATACAGAACAATTGGAGAGGGAGCTGGGGTCTCATCCGGGACTCAGACTTTAGGTTCAAAGCTGAAGTGTGGGAGTCCCACTGAATTTTAGCTCTTCTTGAATTCCCACTTTCTCGTGTCAACTCTTGTATTGTATTGCATGTGGAAGGACACTAAGGACAATGCTTCCAGGAGACAATCCAGTTTTTTTTTTTTCCCCTCTAATCCATTCCACTTCCTCCCCAAAAGGAGAAGGGAAGATAATAGCAGCTTTCCAGATTATAATTCCCAATCTTCGGACCAAGAGTCAGTTTTCCTCTTAGAAATCCATAGAAATAAGGCAAGATGTTTGCCAAAGCCAAGAATGTAGGTGGAGTGACATGGCAGGACAGGTACTTGCAGGGTAAAGAAAGTGTTTTATCATGGTGCACTGTTACCCCTTTCCTTAATAGATGTCAGTGATAGCCAGGGTTCAGGTTACACACATTCCCCTCAAAACCAGTTTAGATTCTGGGAGGAGGAATCAAATCCTACTAGCAAATCCTGCTCATGCTCTTGCCTTCCTTTTTTTCACTGTATGAGGTGGCCTCTGTGTGACCAATCCCAGCTTAGGTCATGCTGACACATTGGCTCTGGCCAAATTTTGGATCTTGCCCTTTGTTGAAGGCTTACAAAATATACACATTTCTCGGTCTTTTAAAGTGCCTAAAATGGAATGCCTTCCACTTCCCTTATGATTCAACACATAGTTCACATCCGTTAAAACCAGTTCCAATCCTCCTCGCCGTGGAGCCCAATGCAGGGCTTGAACTCACAACCTGGTCGAGACCTGAGCTGAGGTTAAGAGTCTGACCGACTGAGCCACCCAGGTGCCCCTCCCACTAGCTGTTAAAACAGCAAAAACACCTTTCCCTGCTAAGTCAGCCTGAAAAGATTTCAGTGTTCCCACCACTCAGCTGGTGGTTAAGCTGGCATTGCTTTGTGAAATTTCTGTTGTTACCTTGATAGTTATCTAAAGCTTATACAGTCAATAAAATTTTCACAATTTAACTGGCCTCCCATATTTCATCTACCCAAGGTCAAGCTTAAGAACAGCTCCACAGCTCTTGCCTTTTTCTCCTAAATGATCAATTTATCCTCTTCACTGGATCATTCCCAGCAGCATACTAGAATACTGTGATCTTTCTCATCCTAAAAAATGCTCTTCATCTCACTTCCCCTTCCAGCTACCTCCGGAACTCCTGAAAGGACTTACCTGTTTGCACTGTCTCCCTTTCCTTCTTCCTATTCTGTATCAAATCTATTCCAGTCAGATTCACACACACACGCACACCCACTCCTCCACCTAAACTGCTTTTTCAGGGCACCGCTGACCACCATATTGCTAAACCCAATGGATAATTATTAGTCATCTCTGTCTAGGACACCACATTCTTGCAGTATTCTTCCTGCCTCTCTGTCTGCTTGTTTCCATCTCCTCAACCTGTGTATCTTGGAATCCCTCCAAGTCCAGCCCTTGGGCCTCTCTGTTCTCTTGACAGTCACTGACTTGGGAATCTTCCAGGCTGATGGCTTTAAATAACATCGTAACACCGAGGAGTCCCAAATTTACATCTCCACCTTGGACTTCTCCCCAGTTTCTAAATCTATGTATCCAATTGCCTACTTGACATCTCCATTTGAATATTGAACTGAACATTGAATTTTGAAAATACTGAATTTTTATTAACAAGCCTCCAAACCTGTTCCTCCTGTAGGCTTCCCCATCTTCTACTGCTCAGACCAAGGAACTTGGAGTAGTGCCCCTTGACCATGTTCTTTCATGTACTTCACATCCGCCCCGTCAGCAAATCCTCTAGCTCTGCCATCAGAATACGTCTGGTGTGTGACCCCTCTAAGCTTGACTACTGCCACTTGATGCAGAACTCTTCCATCTCTCAGCCAGGTTGTTAAAGTGCCCTCTGTCCTGGGTGCCCTGCTGCAACCTTTGGCCTCCTTCAATTTCTTTTAGTATATCAGCCAGGAATCCTTTTAAATATGCTAGGTCATGACATGCCCCTGCTTACCTTCCAGTGACTTCCACACTCAGAATAAAAGCCACCATCCTTAGGGTAGCCTTCAAGACCCTCGTTGGTCTGCCCCCACCCGCATTAGCTTTCTGCTCTCACTTCTTTTTTTTTTTTTTTAAGAAAGCATTTAATGTTTTCTTATTTTTTTTTTAATTTTATTTATTCATTTGAGACACAGAGATACAGAGAGAGAGAGAGAGCTTGAGCAGGGAGAGAGGCAGAGTGAGAGGGAGAAGCAGGCTCTCCGCTGAGCCAGGAGCCCGATGTGGGGCTCGATCCCAGGACCCTGGGATCATTACCTGAGCCAAAGGCAGACGCTTAACCATCTGAGCCACCCAGGCGCCCCACTGCTCTCACTTCTAATAACTTTCCTGCTCACTCCACCCATTCCCCCTGGCCTTCCTGCTATTCATCAAACATGCCAGGCACACCCAACTAATTTTTTCTCTTGCCAACATGCTCTTCTCCTGGGTATTCACATGGCATATTTTCTCATTTCAGTGTGACAACATTGAACAGTTTGGGCAGTGAGAAAAAAGAAGTGGTACAAACAGGGGAGAGCATAAAAATTAGGAGACTTTTGTGATCATCTATACTGGAGTTAATGGTGGCCTGACCCAAGGTAGTGGCAGAGAAGTGAGAATGAGCAGATCCTAGAGTTATTTAGGAAGTAGAAGCAACAGGGCTTGGTGCAAGGAAAAGGGAAGAGTCATGCGTGATGGTCTGGCATTCTGATTTGAAGCATGGGGTCAATGAGAACACATGAGGGGAGGGGCAGATTTGGGTTGGGGCAGGGGAGATACACGAAGTCCTTCTGTGTGTGGTGTTTGAAACGGGACATCCTCGTGGAGGTCTCCAGGTGTGGTTATATATGGATCTAGAACTCAGCAGAGATCTAGGATGGAGGGTAAAATAGATTTGGGAGTCTCATCATGTGGATAGTACTGTAAGCTACTCATTGGATAAAATCACCCAAGGGGCAGGTGTGGTGTGGTAATAGAAGCGAGCCTAGGATGATAGATTCATCCGAAAACCACCAGTATTCCAGGGATGGCTAGAAGAAGTGGGGCTGAGGAAGGACGCTGAAAGGGAATAACAGGAGAGACGAGTATTGGGCGCCATGGAGGCCAAGGGAAATAAAAGCTACCACAGAAGAATGTCAAGTGTCAATACTACGGAGAAGTGAGAGAGAAGGATGAGGTGTTCTAGGTTTTACCGAGAAGTCCTCAGTGGACTCTGAGAATGGATGCAGTGCAGTGGGGGTAGGGAGGGTGCTGTGTCTTCAGTGCGTCACACCCAGAGGCACACGATGTCGGCTTGCCCCACTGTTGGTCATGCTTACTTGGCTTACTTGGTTAAGGTGGTCACTTGTACATTTTTCCATTGTAAAGATACATTTTCTTCCTTTGTAATTAATAATATTTTGAAAATGTGTGACTCTTCCATTCTTCAGCAGTTTCCCACCCAGGGTTTTAGAATTCCCTGATGATTCTTGCTTGAGTCACTTATAATTTTAGTGATTATAAAGATTTTTTAAAAGGTTTATCATTCTGGGTGCCTGGGTGGCTCAGTCAGTTGGGCATCTGCCTTCGGCTCAGGTCGTGATCCCAGGGTCCTGGGATCGAGCCCCGCATCGGACTTCCTGCTCGGAGGGGAGCCCTGCTGCCTGCTTCTCCTTCTCCCTCTGCCATTCCCCCTCCCCACCCCCGCCTTGTGCTCTCTGGCTCTCTCTCTGTCAAATAAATAAATCAAATCTTTTTAAAAAATAAAAGGTTTATCATTCCTTGTCCATTTATTACTTGGCATTCTGCCTGGTAACTCTGAAAGCCACTGAGCAGCAATAATTGTCACATAAATACATTCTGCTTTGCTCCCCAAGAAATGAGTTCTAGAAAAATAGTGTGTACCTGAGCTATATTTCCATAGGCAATTTCAGAGGTGCATTTCCAGAGTAAACAAGAAATCCCCATAGCCTTGTAAAAAGTATTTAAGAAAGGACAACTTTTAATATATTTAACAGATTAAAAACCTTTTAATAAAATGTGAACAACTATAAGCAATCAACAATATACAATACTGAACATACCATATTGTATAGTGTTATGAGCTAGCAATGAAGACAGTAGTCTTTTCTTACCTGAAAGATAATTTAGGACCTTTTGGTAACCAAAAGTGAATATCAAATACGATTTTCAGACATGTTTCATATTTGGTGGTGATACCCCAAGTGTCTGACCTTTCATCTATGTTGCTGTGATCAGGTTACTAAGCCTCCAGGCCTCTGTGTTCTCATTTGTAAGTCGAGGTGGACAGATTATAAAATCCTTTCCAATTCTTCGTGTTGGATGATTGAAACATTGATTATATACGTCAGGCTTCCTACTCCCCTTTGGCTAAAAGGAGTATTGTCTTACTTGCTTTGTTTACACTCACTGGAGTAAAAGTAGTAAGATTGAAGCATAAGAATAGATTCTGGTAGGTCTCTGTTTCCTTTAAAGGGCATCGGCTAGTCTCTTCTTTTTCCCACACAAGAAGATTTTTTAATAAAGACCTCCGTTGACAAACAAAATCAGAGAGATTTTTATAAACCAGCGAAGGAGAAGAGTTTAATAACCCACTAGCTCAAGGTTCTTTCCTCTCCAGTCACTCAGCTACTCCCAGATGTATCCTGACGGGAAATACTCCTCTGAACGTAGTCATAGAAGAAGGATCAATTTCTACCCCCGGGTACCTGAGGAGAATTTATTCTGCATTATTTCATATTTGAGCTGCCTCTTGAGCTTCTGTACCCCAGTGGGACTGGAACACTGGCTGGCTGCTTGCTGTTCCTTTCTTGTTAAACTGATGAGTCAATTGAAGCATTTTGTACTGGGGCTTTCTGGTCCCTGTGAAGGAAGATGTAGGAGAGGGAGGGGACAGCCTTGTTCTGCTGGGGGGTCATGCACTTCAGGAGAAAAGCTGAAGAAAAAACGTCATTGTGCCTTTTTGTTTTAATTTTTTAAAATTCCTCTTGAGCCACACAGGGTCTCTCCCAAAGCATGGGCCGTCTCTCACCAAGAGTGAATGGCAAAAGAAGCTGACTCCAGAGCAGTTCTATGTTACGAGAGAAAAAGGAACCGAAGCGGTAAGCTGCGCCCATGACAGTTTTGTGATTGGATGGGTCGGGGGTGGCAGGAGGGCGGGTTGGGACAGATGTAGCTACAGAAGCCCACTCATCTGCATCTGCTCTGCCAGTCTGGTCCTCCTCTGTGCTTCTCCCTCTCAGGCATCGCTGCCCCTCCACTGGTAGGAGGCCCCGGATGCCTCCCCTCCCTCGCCTCGCCCGCCTCTTCTGCCCCCTCAGTAACCTTCCAGTTGCTCTGCTTCTCTGCCCGATCTTGCCTCCACGCTGCCCCAGGTTTCCCCCCGCCTCTTGCTGGGTGGATGGCGTGTGGCAGCCTCAGGCTGTTCTGGCTGCCATTCTCTACAAGGCTGCCAAAGAGGGGTGCCTGGGTGGCTCAGTCGGTTAAGCGGTTAAGCGTTTGCCTTTGGCTCAGGCCATGATCCCAGGATCCTGGTGCATCAGGCTCCCTGCTTAACAGGGAACCTGCTTCTCCTTCTCCCGCTCCCCCTGCTTGTGCCTTGTGCGAGCTCTCTCTTTCTCTCTCTCTCTGTCTGTGTCAAATAAATAAAATATTTTTTTAAAAAAAGGCAGAAGAGATCTAAAAAACACAAATCCAACCACATCCCTCCACTGCTAACAATCCCTCAGTGGTTTCCCACTACTTCCAAGGTAAAGAAAAAAGTTTACAAACGGCTTATTAGGCCCTACAGGCTCTGCCCTCTGCCTTCTGCCCCTATCCTCAGTCTGGCTATTTTTCCTCTTTATCTCCACACTTCGACCACACTGCCCTTCTTTCAGCTCTCAAACACCCTGGGCTCCCTTCTCCCTAAGGCCCTTGCCTGCTGCGTCCTTCTTCTCTCCCCTCACCTTGCCCTGTTCATTCAGACATACCTCCTCCCTCAGCTCCAATCCCATGTGCTTGGCCCCAAGCTGGGCTTGCTTTTCCCAGCACTCTCCCTTTAGAGCATTTGCCATTGTTGGGACAGTTCTGGCACCTAACATCGTGCCCAGCTAGAGTCTGCACTCAGAGAGTAAATTTTTGTGAATACTGAATGAGTGCAGGCTGAGAGGCGCAAACATTATTTAAATGGCATTCAACAAGCTCAGCTTTCGTTCATTTCCGGAGGGAATTGTCCTCAGTGGTTCCTCATAGTTCTGTTTTCCCAACACAGCGTTTCTTCACAAGTCGTCTATCTTAGACCCAAATAAAACCCTTGGAATAGAGCTGTTGAATGTGGTTATTAGACATTTTCATTTGTGAAGCAGACCCCACGGAGTGGACCACGGTGGTTTTGCAAAGTTGTAGAGTATTTATATCTTTTCTTCAGCAGTCCCTGCAAAGTCCAGACAACTGTCCATGTGCACGTGGCCTTATCATCATGGTGAACCCTCAGCTTCTCTGATGCTGAAGTCGTTAGGCCAGCAGATCCCAATAGAGTCTTGTAAAGTACTGGTATTTTTTAAAACCTCCTGTGGGTGGGATTTTAATAATCCTTCATGGGGAAAGAGACACAGTCATTTATTGCAAATGGTTGGGGGAGCCACGTGTGATGCTCTGTGTGCAGTTGGGTGTATCCCAGAATATTTAAGCCAGCCCTTTCTCAGGGACACAGCCGGGTGGGGTTTGGTATATGTACAGAGCCTGGAGATGAGCTGACAGATGTTGAGGAGAATAAATCTGTGGGATTCGCAAACAGATGGTGCAGTATACTCTGTGCATTTGGCCATTTTACAAAATGAGCATCATCCATTATTTTAAGTAATGTTATAAATCCCTTTCAGTTGATCCATTTCCACATGTAACTTTTTAGAATATTGCAGAACCAACTGTAAGCCTGGCTAACGAAAGGGAAGTAACACATCTCAGCTTTCTGTTTGGTGACTCAAACTTAAGAATTCAGTTGTACATGTTTTGATCGGGCAGCAATAAAAACATGTGCACTCTACTAGACACAACAAAGGAGTTTATAGCCTGGTTGCACAACAGCTAAAAGTCAAGTATCAGTAGAAGGCCGGTTTCCTGCAGGCCTTCCTCTCTGTCCCCTACAGATCTGCTCTCCACATGCTTCACTCTGCTCTGGGAAGAATAACATGCTCCCTTCCCTTCTGACTACTGCTCAGGTTTGGCCAGTGGATGATGCTAGCAAGGTCAGAGGACACAACAGAGAAATAGGATCCAGGGTCCTCTAGTGCAGGCTGTAGCTCCCGCAGGCTGCCCTCACCTACAGGCTCTGGTAACTGCCTCTTCCTTTGTCCCACGGGCCTAGTAGGGGTGGGGTGTTCTCAGAGCCACTGGCCCTCCGAGTGCTTCACCCTCCCTTGCTAGTTTCCACTGGCCCTGTCCCCACCTTTGTAAATCGTTCTGTATGAAATTATCTGCAAATCACCCCTTTGAGTGTGCCATCTGTTTCCAACAGGTATGTTGTATTGACCAGACCAAAGGAGGGAGAAGTCCCATTGGTCCAGACAGACTGCCTTCGGGCCACTGTAGCAGGATACCACAGACTAAGGGGCTTAAACAACAGACATTTATTTCTCACAGTTCTGGAGACTGGGAAGTCCAAGATTAGGGTGCTGGCCAGTTCAGTTCCTGGTTTTTCCCCCTATCTCTGTAACCTTAGCACCCAGACCAGCACTGGGTACATACTAGGTTTTCAAGTAAATATGAGAATGAACAATTGAGAAAGAAGTTGAGTTTGGCTCTAAATAAATGATAGGACTTCTACAGAATTGAGGGAGGAGGAGGGAGACATCAGGAAATCAGTCTAGGAGGCAGTGGATAGATGTCACTTCATAAAAATGCCTCAGCTAAGGATTCCTTTTTTTTTTTTTTTTTTAAAGATTTTATTTATTTATTTGAGAGAGAGAGAATGAGAGAGAACACATGAGATGGGGGAGGGGCAGAGGGAGAAGCAGACTCCCTGCTGAGCAGGGAGCCCGATGTGGGACTCGATCCAGGGACTCCAGGATCATGACCTGAGCCGAAGGCAGTCGCTTAACCAACTGAGCCACCCAGGCGCCCAGGATTCCTTTTTATTTATTTATTTTTTTACTGGGATACCTGTTGCTTGTTACTTGTTACTTCACCTGTCCCCTGCAATGACATAATTATATTTTGATTTTGATCAGACTGTCTGGATCCTATGAGTAGGCTTTCCAGATCAGCTTCAGGACAGGTAGCCTTTTGGCACGTGTGTCTCGTCAGCCCAGGTGGGAGGGGTGTGAAACTTCATGGCAGATGCCGATCCGTGCCAAGGTTGGCAGCCGGCATGCGGGGGGACAGGCCATAAAAAGATCAGCTTACTACTGTTCAGATTTCTGCAGCTAAGTTTAGAGTCTTTAAAGAGGGAAAACGTCCAAGTGTGCCCAGATGGTAGGCTCAGTGGGTTATTTTGAAATTGTCCATTATGTGGCTTGCTGAAAATGTGCTGTTAATACTACTACAGGGAATTTGAATGTTTGACCTGTGAATTTGTTGAGTTGGGGAATCTAGAAAGGGCAGAAGAGTCCAGCTTATTTCCTAAGTCAGTTCTGTGACTTGGTGACCCATTCTGTGCATTGACTTCTCTTTCATCCCATGAAATGGGATAGTGCTTGCCACCAGGCTCTGGTTATGGATCTTCCGTGGTTGGTTTATTGGTTTGTTTTTTTTTTTCCTTTTAATTTACTTTAACAAAAGGAATTGGGCAAGAACATCTTTGTTTCTTTTTTAACAATGAAATCCAGTTTTCAAAATAGCATTTTGCAAGGTACTGACTTGGCAGACTCATTGCCTCAAGTCTCCTGTGTTCCTCTTGGGAGACCTTTGAAAGCCTACAGACTCTTTAAGCCACAGTTAATGAAGTAATTTCATCTAAGTAGTAACTTCGGTACTGGGATAATCTAACTCATTATTTAAACATTTATTAAGTATGCTGTGTCCTAAACACCACGACGTGAGGCATGTTAAAGGCACAGCCACAAGCCCACAGAGCTGTGCTTTTTATGTATTTATATTCTATCTTTAATTGGAGATTTCACAGTGTTTTAGACAGTGGACTGGATTCCTATTGTATTAGCTCTTTTGAGATGAAGACTGAAATCTTACACAATCCAGAGGACTGTTCGCTCACTTTTTCATGGACTTTGATGTTCTTGGATGAAAGGTGCTGTATAAATACAAAGCATTATTAATGTCATAATTTGAATATTTGGCACTTAGGCCGGGTTGTGATAAGCCTACAAGGCTGCTTCATTGGGCAGGTTATGATTTCCTCTCCAGTGATATTTACACTTTGTCCCATTAGTACAAAAATTCCTTTATTTGGGGACTGAATCTTGGATTTAAATCTGCTGTATCATCTCCTGCTGGTGTTATGAGAAGCCTGTACCTGATATGTCTAATTTACTTGCAGCCTTTCAGTGGGGTCTATCTGAATAACAAGGAATCAGGAATGTATCACTGTGTGTGCTGTGACAGCCCACTCTTCAGGTAAGGATCGAGAGAGGTACTGAAGGAGAATGGACCTCCAGATTTCTTACAGCTCTGTCTCATTCGAAGCCTGGGATAAATACATGCCCGTGTTGTTTTTAATTGCCCTCCTCATTTGGCATGGCTGCTATCAGGAGAGCTATTTCTATAAAATACTTGCCCGTCTTGATTATTTCCAGCATTTAGGGCAGTTAATGAGACTTCTTAGCCTATATTCTTTCTTCCCGTATCCCTGAGAAATAGCAAACAAATAAAACTTCGTAGGCACCTTAAGATAATGCTATTAGAATATTTTCCTGGGAAAGTATTTAAAGAAATCTAAACCATAATAGTATTTGCTTGGCCATATGATTAAAACTATCTCTCTCCAAGGGAAAATGGGTTTATAATTTAATTTGGGAAATGTAGAATTTTATGAGGATAGATTCCCCACAGTGCTTGACAGTAGTGAATACCATGCCCCCTTCTATATAGCTAAAAGTAAATTTAATTGTCCCTTGATTTCAAAGCCTCTTTTAAGTCAATCAGGATCTGAAATCTCTCAACAAAGGCTTTTTTGTTTAGACATGCCGGAAACAGTCTAAAAAAAGTAGATTCGATGAAGAAGAAAGGAAAACATCTTTGAAGTCCTGTTTTCAGAACTTCAAAGATATTTTCCTTTCTTCTGCATCAACTCTAAATTGGTTTAGAATAAAATATAAATCAAGCCAGCTCTGTGAATCTTCCATTAGGCAGCGCTTCATTACGTCCTCTGGGCTTTGAGCAGACTGGGCTTTCTTGGGCTGCTGGCTGCTAATGTGGGCTGAATTTGGAAAGCCAGTCCCTGCCTGCAAGGATGAGGAACAATTAGAATTGATTTCCCTTCATGCTTACGGAAGGGCAGGTCTTTGCTCAGATTCATTCACTATGTCAGTGGCTGGTAAGGAGACATCTAAGGTAGAGGTCGGCCCGGGATGGCCTGGTGAAAACTAAGAGAAGCAGGTTAATCTTAACAAAGTAAAATGTGGGACACATATTTCTGAGACATTAGTTATTCCTTGACGTTTGGTTCTGTTAAGGAGGAGAACTAGGACCTTGAGGTGGCCAGCCTGCTTTTAGTCAAAAAAGGTGTACCATGGTGTACCGCCTTGTTACACTGTGGTAACCAGATAGGACCACCTTGTTAAAGGACAGCCTTGTTACACTGTGGTAACCAGTGTAGGGAAGATGTGAAGGACCGCCTTGTTACACTGTGGTAACCAGATAGATGTTCTTTTCTATCTTTGGACTGTGAAAACAAAAGATGAGAAGTCACTCTTGTAAGAGCATTCTTCTAATTTGCATTCTTCATTTTTTGACTTTATTGGTGTTCCGGTTTCTGCACTAGCAAAGTTGAGACCTTTTCCTACCAAGTGCCCACCATCCCTCACCACAGCAGTCAGTCATGGAGTCTCAGAATGCTGGAGCAGGGAGGGACCTGAGACCAGAGCGCAAAGCTCTGTCCAGTAGAGAATTCTGTGATCATGGAAATGTTCTGTATCTGCTCTATCCAATATGGTAGCCACATGTGGCTCTTGAGGACTCAAAATGCTGCTTGAAGATGAATCTTTAATTTTTTCAATTTTAACTAATTTAAACCTAAAAGCCCACATGTGACCAGTGGTTACTGTATTAGCACAATGCTAGTCCAAATTAAGGAAGTTGAGTGACCAACTGCAGGTCGCGGAGATAGTGAAGCAGCCAAGACTAATAGGAGAACCAGCCGATTCTCCAAAGCCCGTTTACCAAAGGCCAGTGTACTGAGCTGCCAGTTCACCAGCCTGACTTGTTTCTTTTTTAATCATTTAGTTTTGGTTGGAAAGTTTCTATTTTCTTTTCTTAGGGACTTTGGAGTAAGTTTCTGTTCCATTTTCCTGCTACTGCTGTTGCTACTGTAACTGAGACTGGGAGAAATAAGAATATATTTGTAAGAATCTCTTATGTTCCAGAATATACTCTTCTTTAAGCTGTATTTGTTTATAGGAGAGATGGTATAGGAGAGTGGCTAGGGTGCTTGGGTATACATCGCGGCTCCATTGCTGTGTGACCTTGGGCAAGTCTCTTAACCAGTCCATGCCTTAATTTCCTCACCTGTGAAGTCGCATGACTTCAGAAACCTGTGAGAGGATCAACTGAGGTACGAGGTAACGCATGCGAAAGCACCCGTGCCGTGCCTGGCATGTGCTGAGCACTCAGTACACGTGAGCAACAATTCTTCTTAGAGATAGATCCTTCTTCAGGCTATCTATATGAATAAATCTTTGATAATGAGGAATTCTTGTGAATGGTGCTAGTTAATGAGAATCTGTAAGTGGAGATTATATTCCTGAGCATGCTTCCCATTCAAGAGGATAGTCTTAGGAAGATATTCTTGTTTTACCTCTCATTCCCCTCTTTCCCCCCCGTCCCAGTCTCCAGCCTTAATAATAGCGAGCAGGGCTGGAGAAAAAGTCAACGTTCCTTCAAATGCTTGTATAGGTAGAGTCAAAATGAGGCAAAACGTTGGTCAACCCAGAAAGAGTCAGGTAGATGTGGGACCGCTGCCTCTGGGCCGCTGGGCTCCTGCTGCCTGCAACACTGCTTTCACACACGGCCACCATGGTGCATGTTCCGGGAGACACACCTCTCCAAACCAGAGGCCTCTGATCCAGGGTTTCCAGGTCAGGAAGACTCTTAGGATGTTATCGCTCCCCTGGGGACTCCAGTCTGTTGCGTTATTAACCTTGGAATCATGTGACTTTGCCCCCGCTTCCTGTGGTTCCCCTTTCTTCTCCTTTCCCCTCCCCCCCCGCCATACCAATTCTGGAAGTGTTTATTAAAATCGACTGTGGGGCCACATACCTCATGCTCCTACATCTCCTCAGAATAGAGGGAATCTGAGAGCCTGATATTACTTGCCTTTTTACATAACATCCAGATGTCCTGCATGTTATAAGGAACTAAGTAACATTGGTGAAAAACCTTTTGTGTGTTCCCATTCCTCCAAACGAATGGAAATTCTTCTAAGATGTTACAGAGTTGGCAATTCTCACCAGGTGCCTCTGCTATTGGTTTTGGGGGCTCTGGAATTTCCAGAAATGAAGAAAAATCAACGCAAATAACCATATAACAAACATGCAAACACGTAACACACAAACACATAACAACAACAACAACAACAAAAAACACTAAAAAAAACCCACCTCTAAGTGTATATGAAAAGAGATGATCCAGTATGGTTTTAGTTTTCCAAGGGAGAGCCTTGCTAATCATTTAACTATGTATATTGGAACTTCAAACTGGCCTTAAAGTTAGATTTCCACTCTTAAATTATGTATGATGGGCCTCTCATATTCCCTGGTAAAATCTCCAGATTCTGTATATTGCATCAATAAAGATTTATTGTTTCCCATAAACATTTTAAATGACTTTTTATTAGCCTTAGATTCATTCATTAAAAAATTTATTATATTCATAATTCTCCATCAAAATGCCTTTAATGATCACTAGTTACATTTAACTTTAAGGGTGGAAAGGCTGTGATAAAAAGACACTTAAAATGTTTTTCCCTGGGCCAGGGTAGCTCGGATGAATAGTTTTGAACCCTTTCAAAAAGGGTTGCAAAAAAAATTGGACCCATGGCTGCTCAAATTCCATGGATATCTGTTATTAATAGTAATGATGTTTAAAAAACATTGTAGCTACTGACTTACGTACCATATATCTGACACCATGCTAAATACACTATACCTAGAAAGTATGTCAGGTAACCCTCTCAGCAGCTTTGTGAGGTAATAAGGCCATTACAGTTCTACCCATTAGGGCACTGAGGCTTTAAAAGAGTAAATAACTGGCCAAGGTCACACAGATGTATCAGAGCCCGGATTCATGCCCAAGCCTTTTGGAAGTCAAGGCCCTTATTCCTCAAAGTTCTAAAATCCTGGTCTGAGGACCCCGGGAGTTCCTGGGACCTTTTTAGGGGATCTACAAGGCCCTCTCTTTTCTAACTGCCTGCCCACGAGGCCACATCCTCTTCCTATACTTCAGTCAAAATAAGATTGCAGCAGATTGAATGTAGAAGCACATATGAGGAGTCAATGGTCTTTCCTTTTTTAAGCTAGACATTAAAGAGATTTGCAGAATTGTAAAACATTGCCACTCTTCTCACTAAATGTTTGTTTCATTTTGGAAAATATAATTATCTGTCAGAAGAATACGTTATTTATGCTACCAGGTAATGAATTTATTATTTTAAAAAATAACGTAGAAATATTTTTAAATTCTGTTATAATTTCTGATTTGTTAAGCAGTGATACACATAATTCATGTAAAGAAAAGAGATCCTCAGTAATTTTTTAGTATAAAGCAGTCTTGAGATGAAAACATTTGAGAATGACTGCATTACACTAGACTTTCTTCTGGGGTTTGTGCACTAAACTGAGCTTCCTTCTGTGTTCATAGTCTCGGGATTTGATTATTTGCCACTTTTCCTTCTCTTTGCTCAGCTTTTTGGGTTTTTTGTTTTGTTTTGTTTTGTTTTTTGTTTTTTGCAGTTTATAGTGCATTTCTCTCCCTCTTCCTTAGAGAGAGAGAGAGCTGTCTCCCTGCCATTAAAAAACTTTCACTCTATTTTCCTGGTGCCATTTGAGGGAGCTCACCTTCAGAGCACGTGGAGAGTGGTTCTGTGGCGAGTGGATTCGCTTGTTGCCCTCCCACTCTTTGGTCGGCCCTTCTGGCCCTCTCCCACTTCGGTGTCATTAGCTCCTGTGGGACTTGCCCAGAAGGGTCCCTGCACTGGCAGCGACAGATGAGGCCTGGAGGGGGTATGGAGCCTGCCCAGTGTCACCCAGCTAAGAAATGGCAGAGGCAGCTTTGGAATCCACACAGGCAGGCAGGTAACCCAAAGGGCCCGCTGCTGACAGTGGGCATTTCATCAGGCCTCCGGCTGCTGGGCCCAGACCCTCATGCCCTCCTGTGACCACGAGTGTCTCATTTCCGTTTCCCCCTTGCCTACATTTAGAGCCCTTGGGTTTGATCTGGGTTTCCTAATACGCATCACAGGTCACAAAGCCCCTAGTGTTTTTCAGTCCCTGTCAGACACGGAGAGAGAGGCCTTCAGCATCAAAGGAACAAGAGGTCCTTTGACGATGATGAGATGTGTTTAACAGTGAAAGTGCAGTGGACGAAGTTCCCATGGAACGGATTGCTCCTGTAACTGGCCTGGCGATCTGGCAGAGGAGAGAGGAGGGAGTCAGACCCTGCTGGGTAGAAAAATGAGTTGGGGCATAAAATGCTCTTTGTATGTTAATAACGTCTTAGCAGCTGCAGGCTGGTGAATGTCTTCCACAGTTCCGAGAAAAAGTACTGCTCTGGCACCGGGTGGCCTGCCTTCTCGGAGGTGCACGGGGCATCTGGCTCTGATGAAAGGGACGCGGGCATCCTGAGACGTGTGGACACCTCATTAGGATTAACTCGCACCGAGGTTGTCTGCAAGCAGGTGGGGTTTTTTGTGTTGTTTTGTCTGTTTGGTTTTCCCCGATGCTGCCCCAGCCCAGGTGCCACAGAGAGCCTATGTGGTGTTAAAACCTGGGAGTACTTCTGTCACTACAACACGCTGGGTTTCTGTGCTTGCTGCTTCTGATCCCTCTCTCCCATGATTCTGGGCACCGTAAGGAAGAGAAAGAACCTTCCTGAGCCACTTTGAAGTAGCCTTTTCTGGTTCTAGCCTTCCAGAGATGGGCCAGAGTGAGGGTCTGAAAGAAGGAGTTGGCCCTGCACATTGTTTGGAACGGGGACAGACAGCAGGAAGGCCCAGGGTGCTCGGCATCTCTCCGCCTCCTTCCCACTGCAGCATATCACCAGAAGTCAGAGGGACGCTGCAGGGAATGTTGGCACATTATTCCTTCCGCGGGTCTGGGAGGAGATGGTCCCTTAAATCCAGACAACAGGCTCATTTTTATATCCTTGGATGCTTACTTTTTTAGTTTTTTAAAACACCAGAGGCAAGCAGATAAACATAGCATAGTCTTATCATCATCAAAAAACCATAATAATACACTGGCTGCAACATTATCGAGTACTTACCTAGGAATTGTATTAATGCTTTACATGCACTGTATCAATTAATCATCACAAAAGCTTTATTACGTAGGTATAATTGTTAGTTCCCATTTTATAGATGAATAAATCAAGCCCTAAGTTAAATAACTTGCTCACATTCTCACTGATAGCTATTTACCGCTACTGTGCCTTGCATTCTTTGACTTCTTTTTTTTAAAGACGTATTTATTTATTTGAGAGAGACAGAGAGTGCACACTCGCATGACTGTGGGAGTGGGGGGAGGGGAAGAGGGAAAGAATCCCAAGCAGACTCCCCACTGAGCACGGAGCCCAACTTAGGGCTCGATCTTGCGACCCATGAGGTCATGACCTGAGCCAAAACCAAGAGTCGGACACTCAACCGACTGAGCCACCCAGGCGCCCCGGCATTCTTTCATTTCCTACATGCATTCTGCTGTGATGGACTTTTTCCCCATACAAACACCGGAGTGGGGTGGCCATGTGGGGTTCACCAGTCTAGTTTGTCTAGAGAACTTTGTCTCAGTGGAGAAATGACAGAGGCATCTCTCCTTTGCAGTGTGAAGCCCATCTTGGCCACGTGTTTCCTGATGGACCTGGGCCTAGTGGTCAGAGGTTTTGCATCAACAGTGTGGCCCTGAAGTTCAAACCAAGGAAACACTGACTGTCTCCGAGGATCCCTTTCTATCGCCACTGCTTCATTTACCCCCTCAATTTTCAATTTATGTGAATGACTTGTTTTATTTACTATCAAACTAAGCAAAGTTTGCTGCTGGCACCAAGCAAGTTCCAACTTCTGTAATTGATTTACCTGGAATCAACCCAACCCCAACTCCAGCTTGGATGGTGGAATTTCACAGAATGACAGAGGGGCAGCCATTTCCGTCCAATTGACTTCTTTAGGCTTTGCCTGGGACCAGAGGGCATGGCTCTTTGGGGACATTAAGAAACTAATGGACAACAAACCAAAAATTCCTGCAAAACTACCCTGAACTTTCTGTGGTATTAAGTCCTTTGTGGACATACATAGGTGAGGGATCAAGAGAAAAGAGGAAGGAAATATGGGATCAGAGTAATCAACAATCCCAGCATTGAAAGAAGTACCAAGGGATTATGGAAGAGCAGCATTTGGGAGACACACATGGTGATCAGTGGGATGCATGATTCTTTTTCAAAATTTTAGAATGTCTTGAACATTCTGGTTTCATTCCTTCTACCGGCAAATAAGTTCCAATGGGACTTTGTTAGATTTCAGTGATAATGAGTAAAAGTGGCTACAAAGTTAAGCTTTAACATGTTCAAATAAAATATTGAGTAAAATTTTATGTGTGCTTTTTGTCTGAGCCTATGAAGTTGCTCTTTTATAAAAACAACTCTGTGGGGCACCTGGGGGTGGCTCAGTTGGTTAAGCATCTGCCTTCAGCTCAGGACATGATCCCAGGATCCTGGGATTGAGCCCCACATTGGTCTCCCTGCTCAGCGGGGAGTCTGTTTTTCCCTCCCCCCTCTGCCCTGCTCCTGTGCTCAATCTCTCTCTCTCTCTCAAATAAATAAATAAAATCTTTAAAAACCTGGAATATTTTTTAAAAATCTAAATCAAATACCAAAAAAATTAGATTACATGGTAGTAGGCATTTGGTTATAGCAACACTAATAGGAACTCAACTGTTTCACAAATTGAGAGTCTTGAATAATTTGCTATTGAAAGTATTTAAATTATTTGGGACATAATAGAAAGGAAACAGTTACTCCATTTCTTTTCCTTATTAGCTTGTAATGCATTATGCAGCTCGTTTTTTAGTGGTTACCTTGGAAATAACAACATGCATCCTAAACTTGTCATGGTCGTATAAAAATTATTACTTTTTGCTACTTCTCCAGGGATGCTAACCTCAGAACACTTTAACCCCATTAAACACCCTTCTGTATTTCGTGTTACTATCCCTATGTATTTAATTTTACACATTTTAACCCCCACAAGTCTTTTTTTTTTTTTTAAAGATTTTATTTATTTATTTGACAGAGAAAGACACAGCGAGAGAGGGAACACAAATGGGGAGTGGGAGAGGGAGAAGCAGACTCCCTGCCGAGCAGGGAGCCCGATGCGGGACTCGATCCCGGGACTCCAGGATCATGACCTGAGCCGAAGGCAGTCGCTTAACCAACTGAGCCACCCAGGCGCCCCCCCACAAGTCATTATTAATTTATATGTCAATATTTATTTATATTTACCTACATTTTTGCCCTTTCTGTTCCTCATTTCTTCCTGAAATCCTGTTTCCCTATGGGGTTATTTTTTTCTGCTTGAAGAATTCCTTTTTGTTTTAGTTCATGATTCCTAGTGATGGATCTTCTGTTTTTTGTTGGCTGAGAAATGTATTTATTCTCCCTTGAAATGTTGAAAGCTTTATTGAGAAAAAGTTGACATACGAAAAAGTTTCACATATTTATAATTTTGATGAGTTTGGTCTCCTTTCATTTTGGAAATATTCTTTTCCCTGGGTATAGAATTCTAATATAGAAAAATTTTATTTCAGCATTTTTAAAGTTTTGTTCCATTGTCTTTGGCTTCCATCATTTTCTCTGAGAAATAAGTTGTAAGTGATATTGTCGCTCCTTTGAAAGCAGTGTATTCCCCTCCTCAACCCCAGCTATTTTTGTGAATTTCTCTTTTTATTTGATTTCCAGCAGTTTATGTTGTACCCTGGTGTGGTTGTCTTTGTATTTATTGTGCTTGGGGTTCATAGAGTTCTTTGAATCTTTTCATCAGTTTTGGAAAATTTGATTATTCTCTCTTCACTATTGCTTTTTCCCTGACCTCACTCCTGGCCTTCTGGAACTTGAATCACACAAAAAGTTAAGACCATTTATTGCATCCCACATAACTCTAAGATTCTTTTCTGAATTTTCCCATTCTTTTAAATTTCTGTACTTCAGTTTGGATATTTTTTGTCAACATGCTCTCTAACTTACCAGTCTTATCCTTTTGCTCCTCTAGTCTGCTTTTATTTATTATTTGTTTTTTAAAATTTGTTTGTTTGAGAGAGGGAGGTGAGTGGGGGGGGGGGGTGAAGGGCAGAGGGAGAGAGAGAATTCCAAGCAGACTCCCAACTGAGTGAAGAGCCTGACATGGGGCTTGATCCCACGACCCTCAGATCATGACCAGGGCCAAAGTCAAAAGTCGGACACTTAACTGAGCGAGTACTCCATCTGCTTTTAAACACATCTTATGAAGCCTTAATTTTAAGTGTTATACCTTTTAGTCCTAAAATAACAATATCTTTTTTAAGCTTTCATACATCTCAGATATAATCCTCCAGACTAAGAGGTTGGAGAAAAGGGCCATTCAGAAATATTGACTAATCAGAAAGGTTCCTTTGTCCCATTTAGTGACCATCTCTGTAGCACTTTTTGCCATGGTGGTATGCCTGATTTCAGGAGTGTTTGCCACAATATCTGTTAAGTTTTCACTTTGACCATATTTTCATTTAAGAAAGGCCTCCCCTAAAAATAGGAACAGTTATTGGCATCCTAGTCTACCCACCTTTCTGGAGGCTTCTGCCATTCCAACCAAGTACCAACTGTGTAAGCACTCTCACACTGAAGCACTGAATAATGCATGTAGAGGAATGATAGCAATTTAATAGAATATGATTTTCATCTATTTTCCAGACATGGTTTCTTTGGCCACAGAAGAGAATAGTAATAATTTTTTATTGGATTGGCAATTTTATAGATTAACGTTGTATGCTGTATTTCTACCTCTCACCATCAGATTAGCACCCATACACGCAGGGTTAAAAAAAAAAAAGTATAGTCAGAAGTTGAAACCAATGACTTGTTTGAGTAGAGTCATGACTGATGAAATGATCATTGGATTATGTGTTGGGCTGGTTACACCCCCCCTGTTCCTCTATCTTAACAGCAACAACAAAAAGCCCAAAACATTCCGTAAGAGACTAGTTTGACTTATATTGCAATTCTGATGCTAATCACCCAGAGTGTGGGGCACAGCCCTCAACAAGACTCCTCTCATGTCCATTGCCAGTTGCAAGTTTAGGGGTCCCTCCTAAGTTACTTGCACTTCCAACCAACTGGCTACAAATTCAGAGGTGCTCCTAGGACCTCCTTCAGTTTCAGTAATTCACTAGAATGACTCACAAAACTCAGGAAAGTGCTATACTTATTAGTACAGTTTTATTCTAAAGGACACAAATCAAGACCAGTCAGTGAAGAAACACATAGCGTGAGGTTCCAACACAGAGATTCTGTGCCCTCTCCCTGTGGAATTAGGTTGCATCACCCCCACAGCACATGGATATGCTCAGCAACCAGGATGCTCACCAGAGCTTCAGTGTTCAGTTTTTACTGGAATTTCATTACATAGGTGTGATTGATTGAATCACGTGAATGAACTCAATGTCTATTCCCCCTTCCCTATCTCCCAGAGATAGGGAGGTTGGGCTGATATCATGTGGCTCAACCAGCCCCCAACCAGGTCATCTCCTTAGCATAAACTCAGGTATGGTCCGATGGCCCTTCATGAATAAGACACTCTTACCACTCAGGAATTTCCAAGGGTTTAAAAGCTTTATCTCAGGAACCCAGAACAAGGATGAAACAAATTCTCTATTATATGACATTTAAGAAATAACACTATATATCAAATATTATAGGATATTGTCAATACTATATTCATAGCCTTAAATGCTTTTCTTTTTTATAAAAGAAAGTAAATGAAGTAAAAGATTCATTTAAAGAAGTGAGAAAAAAGAATAAGGTAATTAATCTTAGTAGATATCTTAATAGGATAAAGAAATGACAAATTAAGAGGACACAATGAATTAGGAGAGAAATTTATTAGAGTAAAATATCAAATGAGTCTCTGAAAAACAGCAACAATATAGAACAAACTTCCAGTAGCTTTAATCAAGAAGAAAGAATACCCATCTGAACTAAAATATAAATAAAAATGTGGGGCATAAAAACAGATACAGGAAATTTTTAAATTGTTAACACATGCTCTGTAGAGCTCAACTGAGAACTACAGATGAAATGTGTGGATTTTTTTTTCACTGAAGTATAGTTGACATACACTATTAACATCAGTTTCAGGTACATAACATAGTGATTCGACAATTACATACATTACAAAATGCTCACCAAGGTTAAGTACAGTTACCATCTGTCATGATACAAAATTATTACAGTACTATGGACTATAGTCCCCAAGCTGGACTTTTCATCCCTGTGACTTATTTTATAAATGGAAGTGTTCAGTTCTTAATCCCCTTCACCTCTTTCATTCATCCTCCCATCCCCCTCTGCGCTGGCAACCACCCGTTTATTCCCTATTTTTATGAGTCTGATTCTATCTTTTGCTTGTTTATTCATTTGTTTTGTTTTTTAGATTCCACAGATAAGTGAGATCATATGGTGTTTGTCTTTATCTGACTTACTTCATTTTAGCATAATACCCTCTAGTTCCATGCATGTTGTTGTGAATGACAAGATGTCATTCTTTTTTATGACTAAGTAATATTCCTGTGTTTTGGGGGTGGGTGTGTGTACACACCACATCTTTATTCATTTCTCTGTCAGTGGACACTTGGGTTGCTTCCATATCTCGGCTATTGTAAATAATGCTGCAATAAACATAGGGGTGCATGTATCTTTTTAAATTAGTGTTTTCATTTTCTTTAGGTAAATATCCAGAAGTGGAATTACTGGATTATATGATATTTCCATTTTTAACTTTTGAGGAACTCCCATACTGTTTTCCATAGTGGCTGCACCAATTTACATTCCTTCCAACAGTGCAGAAGTGTTCCTTTTTCTCCACATCCTCCCCAATACCTGTCTTCTTGATTCCAGCCATTCTGACTGGTTTGAGGTGATGTATCATTGTGGTTTTGATCTGCATTTCCCTGATGATTAGGGATGTTGAGCATCTTTTCATGTGTCTGTCGGCCATCTGTTTGTCTTCTTTGGAAAAATGTCTCATTAGGTCCTCTGCCCATTTTTAATTGAATTATTTATTTTTTGGTGTTGAGTTATTTGTATATTTTGGATATTAACCCCTTATTGGATATATGATTTGCAAATATCTTCTCCCATTCAGTAGGCTGCCTTTTTGTTGAAATGTATGATTTCTGTAGAAAACATTAAATTATCAAAATTGCTATAAGAAAATCTTTAAAAAAAAAGAACTTTTTTTTTTTTTTAAGATTTTATTTATTTATTTGGCAGAGAGAGACACAGCGAGAGAGGGAACACAAGCAGGGGGAGTGGGAGAGAGAGAGAAGCAGGCTTCCTGTGGAGCAGGGAGCCCGATGCGGGGCTCGATCCCAGGACCCTGGGATCATGACCTGAGCCGAAGGCAGACGCTTAACGACTGAGCCACCCAGGTGCCCCAAAAAGAACTTATTTTTAAAAATGATCTCCACACCCAGCATGAGGCTCAAACTTAGAACTCTGAGATCAGGAGTTGCATGCTCTACCAACTGAGCCAGCCAGGACCCCAAGAAGATCTTAATATCTGAATAGACTAATATGCATAGAGAAAACTTTAGAAATTATTCATAGTTTCCTCTCAAAAATAACCCTGGACCTGGAGAGTGTCATGAGTGAATTCCTTCAAACCTCCAACAATTCATATGCCATATACATAGATTTAATATTTGCAAAACTAACACAACAGGGACATCAAATCCTGTCAAGGTAGAGGATAACATAAAGGAAGGAAATATATAAACCAATTTTACCTAAGAAAATAGATGTGGAAACATCAAGCAAATTACTGACAAAATGAATTTAATAGGATATTAAAAGAATAAAATGTAGCTTTCACTTTGATCAGTATGAAAAATTAGATTCTTTAAAGGTCCCTCCAGTTTAAGACAAAACAGAACCTGCCTGAAACATATTGATTTTTTGAATTATATTGCTAACCTACAAGACATAACAGAAATCTTCCAGACGTGTTGGGGGTGGTGAGGGCAGGAGTCTAACGAAGTGAGGGCCCTAAGCATTCAGAGAAGGCTGGGCTGCCTGGGTGTGGGGAGTGGTTAAGCCAACATCACTCATCCATTCAAGTATTTATTCAACAAATATTTAAGGGGTATTGCTGCTTGCTGGGCTCTTTTCTAGTTACGACAGACACAGCAATCAACAACACGCATGAAATCTCGGAGCTCCTGCCCTCATCTGGAGCTATAAGAATCTGTAGTAGAGGAGATAGGCAATAGGATAAATTAATAAGTATAATAAGGTTTTAGATGGTGCTAAGTGCTATGGAGAAAAACCACGCATGGAAGAGGACAAAGTATATTGGGTGGGTTATAATTTTAGATCGGGTAGTTGGGGGAATGCCTCACTGAGAAGACTGGCAGATGAGGGAAGAGCATTCGGGCAGAGAGAAACACACACTATAAAGTTCATGTGGTGGGAGTGTTCTTTATGAACAGTGAGGAGACCAGTATGGCTGAAGAGGAGTGAGTGAGGAAAAGAATAACATACAGTATGATGAATTAAATGTAGATATATTGATGACACCAAAATTTGGAAAAAAATAATTAGAATCATAGAATAAAAATTAGAATAATACAATTAGAAATTGCAGTAAAGCCCAGGAAGCAGGGCTCCTTTTTGTAGGGAGAGCTCCTCCTTGCTCTTCTCTGATTTTCTCCTTAGTTTGTGTGTATTCCTCTGAAGCATGCTTCCTTCAGGCTGATCAAAGGGTCTGAGTGGTTGGGTTGGCTGTAATTGCATTTAGGAAAGGAAAGGAAAGGGGTGCCTGGGTGGCTTAGTCAGTTGAGCGTCTCAGGTCATGAACCCGGGGTCCTCGGATCGAGCCCCTTGTTGGGCTCCCTGCTCAGTGGGGAGTCTGCTTCTCCCTCTGCCTCTCCTCCCTGCGCATGCACTCTCTCTCTCTCTCTCTTTCTCATTCTCTCTCAAATAAATAAAAAATAAAAGAAAGGAAAGAATGGAGCAGACACATGTGACATCGCCACCAGCGTATACATCCTGTCCTGAATCATGAAGTTAGGTTTAGCTTAAAAACCGAGTTGAAAACGTGCCCAGGTAGCTGCTCACACACTTACCAAGGTGTAAACCTCAGTCTGAAGGCTGATGACTGCAGGTATTCTTCCTGTCCTCACAGGTGGGTTGGACACACCATTGGTCTGAGGGGTGTTAGGGGCCTGTTCCTTGTATATTTGTTGAATCCTATTGTACATCTGAAACTCATATAACACTGTATATTAACTATACTTAGATTTTAAAAAGAATGAAAGCCCAAGGACATTCCTCAAAAGTTACCAGTTGTGGCTTGCTCCTTCCCTGGCATAAGCCATAAACAGCATTATCCATCCCCCCCAATGCAAGGGTGACTTGAACACATCACATTACCAGTGACTTTCAGAGTCGCAGGCCTACTGACTCCCTGGCATTGTAAGGTGGCCCACGAGAAGCCACTGGGGCTTGAGGACTCCAGGAAAAGGCCATTTTATCAAGGCATCAGCAAGTGAGGAATTCTTCAAAGAATGGATCATCCACAGGCTTGCTTTCTACATCTGTCCAATCTCCTCTCCCCATACTCTCCGACCTTTCTCCCATCTTAGAATGCACTGAGGGTCCCCCGAGTCTCGCTCTGGGGAGCAGGGGTGGGGAGGGGGCCTTTGTGGCTGGCCGGCTGAGAGGCTTCTGCTCACTTCAGAGGTGAAAAGGGGGCATCCCTTGGGGCTGCATCCCAGCCTGTGTGAGGGAGGGAGGTTTGTATCTGAGTTATCCAAGACAAGATCCTGGAGTGCTGGAACAGGAGGCCCTGAAGTCTGACTCTTTATCCTCCTCCCAGAGAGTTCTGAACAAAAGAATAATTCCTGTTACATTTAGATGCCGATTATCAGGGAGGGGGTCGTAAGAGATGAGGGTGGAGGGAACATTCTTAGTAATCGGAGTATTTGGCTGATTGGTAACTGTTTACAGCTTGTTTCTTTCTAGTGCATACCCCTTGAAATCATTTTCTTTGTAAATGTTAAAAGCCATATGAAAAAAAAAAAAACAACCTTGATTACTCTTCTTTGTATTTCAATCAGCAGCGTGTCAGCCTCTGAATAAACTATAATTCCTTCACTGTGCCTGTTGAGGAGAACATTTAGACCACATTTAAAAAATGTGGTAGGGGTCTCAAGAACAATTAGCAATTAAAATAATCTATTTTCTACGCTTCCATATAAACACGGCCGCTTGATTGAGTTCACAGTCTCAGGCACGGCTTTGCTCAGGAGCCCCATCTTGCCCAGTTCCAAGCTGCTGGAATCACCGGAGGCATCTTAAATGTTGGGAGACAGCGCCCCGTGCTCCCAAATCTGTTAGCGCGTCAGTCCGTTTAGAACTGAACTTGATGCCTTTTCCAGAGAATATGCTTCTAGGGCTCACCAGGACTCCCCTCAAGCCCTCCCACCCCCGCCCCAGAGCCTGGCTTCGCCCACAGATGCTAGTCCGGTGGGGTCAGTCCCAGAGTAACAGACTCCCAGCACCAAGCCTTGCTACACAAAGAAGAGAATGAAAAGTCGCTGGGTCCAACCCCGGTGCATTTTTACAGATAAACAACCTGAATCCCAGCGAGACTAAACTAGCTAGTGATGGCCGTGGCATCCAAGGTTCCTGAACCTCATGCCAGTTGCCCCCCGCCCCGGGGGGTGGTCTTTGTGGGTGGAAATTGGCTTAGGTGGTTTCTCTCGTGGAAAAAGCAAGGTGTTCGCTTTGCACAACAGTTCAGGTGTGATCCTGATTTCAGGCAGAGGAATAGACTTGAGGACTTCTCAAGGCCAAGGTCAGGCCCTAGAGTCTGAGAGCTGCAGAAAATGTGGTAGGGCTCTGTATAAGTGCGTGGCCATCCTGCATGGCCTCCTTGCCCGCCCTCTGCAACCTTCCTGGAGCCCGCACACTGAGGCCTGCAGCAGGGCCAGCCCTTGCTGAGGTGGGAGAGGGGCCACCTCCCTGGTCAGGGGGCACCAGCTCTCATACCCTCATGGGCAGCTGATGCTGTGATTTTGCAGTCCCAGTCCCTCTCGCCTCACCCTTGTCCCTGCAAGTACTCCACGGGTGTAGGACCAGGGGATGCCAATGGCAAGGGGCAGGGTGACCTGGGCAGAAGACTGACACTGAGAAGAGTCAGCAAGACAAGGTGCAGCAGAGGAGAAACATCCCCAACGGGAGCTAAGCCATCGCACCTGGGCCTGGAGTCTAGGTCAGGAATGGAAGGGAGGGTCCCCTTGTAGAGCCCCTTGGGTGACCATTTCCACCTTACCTAAGACATCCGTCATCCCTGGAGCCTAGGCTCAGCTGTCATTCCAGGATCAGAATAATGACTGCATGGTAAGAACCCTCCCTGGGGCCTCCTCCCTCGGGCAATCCAGCAGGCAGGGCTGGGAGGAACAGACAGAGGGTCCCCCATTGCCAACACGCATTGAGACATGGTTACCGCGTGACCCTCTACAAAATATCTTCAGTGGGCTGGTGAGACCTAGACTAAACTCAGTTCAGCGACACTTCCAGAATGTCTGAGCTAAGCCTCACAGGGCTTTGCCATGAACAGCAAGCCCCCAGAGTCCAGGGACCCCCCCCGCCCCCCCGCCAACCACCACCAATCAGGATGCATTTAACAAAAGTGGCTTGGGCTCATTCTAAAACTAACAGGTTGATAGTTTATGACACAGAATAACCAATTAATGAAAATGATAGTAATAAAGCAATAAATAGTAAAAAAAAAAAAAATTAACCTTTTATAAGCCTTTAAGCATTTTTTCACTTCTTTGATTTTTTTTTTTTTGAAATGTAGGAGTGCTTGCATGAGAATTGCAATATTTATGAGTCCTAGGACTATTTTATGAATTTATGTATTTTTTTTTCTTTAGGAAATTGTTTCCAAAGTGGGGCATTTTTTCCTAATTCATTTCAATCAGTATGCTTACTCTTGCTTGCTTAACAATGCTTTCTGTGAATTTAAAATCTCCTCTTCGGTTCTAAGTAAATCTCTGAAAGGCTGTTGATCAAAACTAATCTTTCATATCACTAGTCTTTGTATTGTTAATGTGTGTGCGCTCCAGGATTACTTGTGTGTAAATGCATCCTCAAGTAATACTGTCCACTCCCTCAGTTATTTTGCTTTTTAAACTGATAGGAGTTAGTTTTCAGTGAGGAATTCCTGCTTCACTGTTCCAAGTAAGAGCTAATTGTGCGTTCTGCCTGAGTGCCGGCGAGATGGAAGGTCATGGCCATGAGAGAGCACATCGGGGGCTAAGAAGATGCTGCCAGTGTAACTCATGTTCCCGTACCTGCCTGCACTCCAGGGTGTGTGTTTATAGAGCAGAGGACGTCCTCCGTTCTGCTTCTGGCCCCTGGGTGGGGGGGCCTTCCACCATCCGAGGAGAAACATCCCCATGAACATCTCTATAAGGTTCTAGAGAAGCAGCCGGAGCTCTTCAGGAGATTCTTGAGGAGAATGGTGCATGATGGGGGGCAGAGGGCAGGAGACAGGTTAGCACAGTGGTGGGGGCAGCCATTTCCCCAGCCTCTTCAGACATCCTAGCCGTGTCCTGCTACCTCCAGGGACCGTGGCCGGGCTGTGGTCAGCACTGATGTCCTCACAGCCAGCACCCACCAGCAGCAGGGATGCGTCATGGCCGCCAGCAGGAGCTACCTGCGGGCCAGAGAGAGGGGCCAGCAACCAGCTGTGGTGACTGCAGCTAATAGCCTGGTTGGTGTTGCCTTCAAGGCCCCCTTTGGAGACTTTAAAGTATGTTTAGGGAACCTCAAACTATGGTAATCTGGGCATTAAAAATGAATGGGGGGGCACCTGGGTGGGTCAGTCGGTTAAGCATCTGACTCTTGGTTTCGGCTCAGGTCATGATGCCAGGGTTGTGAGATTGAGCCCTGCTTTCAGGCTCCATGCTGGGTGTGGAGCCCGCTTAAGGTTCTCTCTCTCCCTCTCCCTCTGCCCCCCACCACCGCTCTCTCTCCCTCTAAAAAAAAAAAAAATGGATGGTACTTCATATTGTAGCCACAGGCTAGTGAAGCCTGGATGTACCCCGTACACCTATGATGATTATAATGCTAAATTAAAGAGAAGATTAGCCAGACAAAACATTTCTTCCCTCTTTATCCTAATTTTGATAGTAAATACTGACATTAAAAATTAATTCAATTAGGGGTTCCTGGGTGGCTCAGTCGGTTGAGTGGTTGCCTTCAACTCAGGCCATGACCCCAGGGTCCTGGGATCAAGCCCCGAGTCAGGCTCCCTGCTCAGCAGGGGTCTGCCTCTCCTCTCCTTCTGTGCTCACTCTCTCTCTCAAGTAAATAAATAAAATCTTAAAAAAAGTTAATTCAGTTAAAACTTCACTGAGATTTTCTCACCTATGAAATCGGCAAAAGTCCAAAATTTGTGGACATTCTCTGTTGGTGAGACTATGGAGAAACAGGTCTCATGATACAGAATGGCACGACCAATTTAAGGGCAATTTGACAATATCTACCCAAAAACCTACACCCACCCTTTAACCTGGCAATGTCACTCCTAGGAATTGATCCCAAAGATACATTGGCAAGACTGCACAAGGGTATTCACTGCAGCACTGTTAGTGAGACCAAGACTGGAAATGATCCAAATGTTCTTCAGTAGGCTGATGGTTGAATTAACTATGCTTGGGCACACAGTGGAGTATTATCCAATTATAAAAAGAAATGAAGAGTACCTCTATATGCTATTCTGTAGTGATCTTCAGGATATATTGTTAAGTGAAAAAAAGCACAGTGGAGAAAAATGTGGGTAGTATCCTACTATTCATCTAAAGAAGAGGGAGACTTCTCCAAATAAACCTTCCTTTGTAGATTTGCATTGGAAACCATGATAATATTTTACATAATTTTAAAACAAATTAAATTTAAAAAAGCAATCCCCAGGGGCGCCTAGGTGGCTCAGTCAGTTAAGTGTCTGACCCTTGATTTCGGCTCAGGTCATGATCTCAGGATCATGAGATCGAACTCCGTGTGGGGCTTTGTGCTGGGTGTGGAGCCTGCTTCAGATTCGCTCTCTCTCCCTCTACCTCTGCCCCCCCGCGTCCCCCCACCTCCCCACTTACGCACAAGCGTGCATTTTTTTCCCTCTCTCTCTCTTAAAAAAATAAAATAAAAAATAAAAAAGCAATCCCCAAATAATCAAGACCAAAATGAAACAATGCACCTAACTGTCCATCATGTTAGTGTCATAACTACACAGGCACAGTTTTAAGTGATTCTATAACATGATAATTTGACTGTATATCCATAATGGGCTACTGCCTAGGCCAAGAAAAAAAAAACTTCAAAAGAAAAAAAATTAAACCATTTTCAGTATCATATTTTTGGCATAATTACGTTGGTGTCATTGGGAACTGGGATTTTCAGGATGGAAGAAAAGAGAAACCCGTATAAGATGGATAAGATTGAGTAAAGACCCTATAGTTTTCAATTTGAGTGAGAAATACCAGTATGCAATCATATTCAACTCATTTTTTTTAATCTTAAAAAGTTAATTTCCTAACTCTATCCATGAAAAGGCCAAAAACAAGGAGCATTCCAGTGGCAGTAAGCAGTTTGTGGTCTCTAAATATTTCCCACTGAAGGAAACCAGGCTCCTTAAAGAAACAATGACTCCAGAGATGGGACAGGAAAAGTATAAGATGAACCTGGAGCATTTTGTCATAACCAGATGGCAAGGAGGTTATCAAACACGTAACCAGGATCATGTCAAAAGCACTCAAGGTCCAACTTGAGAGGGCCCACGCGGTTTGAAGATGGACAATCTGAGGATTAGTACGATTAGTGTCCACAAGAGAGTAAAACACTTCAAGTGTGTGTAAATCTTGAATTCCTAATGATAAAAAATAAAACATCCATTGGCCGGGACGTCTAGGTGGCTCAGTCCTTAAGAGTCTGCCTTCAGCTCAGGTCATGATCTCAGGGTCCTGGGACTGAGCCTTGCATTGGCTCCCTGCTCCATGGGGAGCCTGCTTCTCCCTCTGCCTGCCGCTTTCCCTGCTTGTGCTCTCTCTGTGTCAAATAAATAAATAAAATCTTAAAAAAAAAACCACACAAAACATCCACTGGTCAACTTTTGAGGGGTATTAGGTAACCAAGTAATTATTTTGAAAAGTGCCTGCTATATAACCAAAATGTTTGTGTCCTCCCAAAATTCATGTGTTGAAACCTAGTGCCCAATGTGATGGTATTTGGGGGTGGGGCCTTGGACAGTACTTATGTCGTGAGGGTGGAGTAATTGTGTCCTGAATGGGACTGGTGCCCTTCTAAGAGACTCCAGGGAGCTCCTGTCCTGCTTCTGCAAGATGGCCGTCTGCCATCCAGGAATGGCCTTCCCAGACATCGAATCTGCCAGCATCTTGATCTTGGAATTCCCAGTCTCCAGCACTGTGAGAAATAAATTTCTCTTGTTTATAAACCACCCAGTTTACTGTATTCTGTTGTAGCAGTCCACATGGATTACAAGACTGGCAAATAAAAGGAAGGTCTCAAGCACCAATCCTGCCTTTCCTATAGGGACTGTATTCGGGGACAGTCAAATCCTTGATTTGGGGGAGGTTTCTCTTTAAAGAAGTAATCTAGATGATACATAGATATATCGTGCTGCACTACCATTTTGCAGTCCCTAATAAAAAGATGGATCCAGGTCACCATCATCAAAAAAAGAGAAACAAGCAGACATTTGCCGTAATCTTACCCCCAAATTCCACACTGAATCTGTGATGTTCTGACAGCTGACCTAGTAGTGTCCCTGGTCCAGCCTCCAGAGCAGATGAGCTCCAGGGCAGTGTGTCTGAGGTTAAGAAGGGAGAAAAAAATCATTTCCTCCCTCGTTCAGATGGTTACTGAGAATGCACCACCTGTCGGGCACTCTGCTGAATATTTGATATATAGCACCTCATTTAATCTCTACCAGAACCCTATGAGATACGTATTGATAGTCCCATTTTACAGGTGAGGAGTTAAAGTGGCCAAGTTGAGATTCAAACCCAGGTCTTTCTGACTCCAAAATCTGTGTTTCTGGCACAACTTTATATGTAACGTGGACACTCTGCCTGCATCAAATTATGTGTCACGGATCTGACATCCCCGGTCCGTCTTCCAGTGAAGATCCTCGGGAAAGCTACTGCCCCGGGAGCATGGCCGAACTAGCCCTGCCTGATCCGCCCCTGGCCCAGTGATTAGCTGGGCTGGCCAGTCACTCTGAGGTCACGTGGACGCAGGATTTCTGGGCCACTTGAAAGATAAAACCCGAACACGGGAAGCAGCAGAGGAGCTTGGGACATGAAAACCAGTCAGCTCCTAAAAATCTGCGGTGGGCCTGGGGCGGGGGGGGGGGGGGAGACGGCTGAGAGAACACAGCTGCTGCCCCCTCCACGCCGATGTAGAGCCCACATTGGGTGTCCCCCCTGTGGTCCACAGCAGGAAGGGCCCATCCGCCCACTCCCTTGCTGCCCTGGGAGCTTCTGGGCACTTCCCAGGAAAAAGAATGTGTCTGTCGACTGCTTTATTCCAAAACTCCACAAAGCCTTTTATCGATATGTCAAATGCTGGAAAATAAAGAGATAAACCAAGCCTGTGAACTTCTTTCTGCTCCAGACACATTGGCTTTGTTTGGATCCATAACCATGCTGTGCTCCTTCTCACCTGGAGCATGCGGGGCGGAGGGGGGGGGGCGCCTCTGCATGGAACCCCCTTCCTTCCCTCTTAGTGGCCTAACTCCTAGGGCTCAGCTTACTGTCACTTGCTTGGGAAAAACGTGTGAGCTCCTGGACCAGCTCCCACCCTCCCATCACACACCCTGGACTCTCTCAAATGACTTAATTACCCCTGCAATTCAAAAATGATGTAATTACTTATTTACATTCTTCCTCTCTTGATGATGAGCTGCAAGCATCTGGATCTGGTTTCCCAGCTTCTACTTAACCACAGTCCCTCCAGCATCTCCCATGGAGGAATTGAAGGCAGGCTTAAATCGCAAGTCTCAGGTGTGGCTTAAGCCAGAGTCTGACATCACCTTGCCTTGGAGCAGCAGGCCCTGGACACATCACCAAAGGTAAGCAGTCCTCTTGGTGGAGGTGATGGGCTCGGAGGGGGGATCCCCAAAGCTGTCATGCTCACTGCTATTTTTGCAGGACCTACAGAGTACCTGGGTCACGGGAGGTACTGCCCGAACACTCCACCGGATGACTGATGTTGGAGACCTGCCTGGTCGTCCGGGTCATGGGGCGCACAAAGAGTTTCCGAGGTGTGTGGTTAGGATGACCTTATGTCCCCCTGTGCCCGACTGTCCTGGCGGTGCCCTTTCCCTTCCAAAAATGTTCTAGTTTGGAGCACCACATATTTGGATGCCCTAGCGGAAGAATCAGCCAGTCCAAATTCTTCTTCCTATTAAATAGATACATCTCAGTAAATCAAAATCATTTCAAGGTATTCGTATTTTTGAACCAACTTCTACATGGTTTAGCCAAAGCCCTTTTAGACACACTCTGAGCTGGAAATGAAGGCAGAAGTTTTCTCTTATCTGCAGAAAGTGGTCAGCTACTGGCCTACCCTGACCCCATGTGTTTTATAAAGGTCAATACTAACCCCAAATTCTTTTTGATGAGGAAGGGGAGAGTCAGTCATAATTCTATTTTTGTTCAGCAGCTAACACTCGAGTCCTGGGTGGAAACATTGGCCATAATGCAGGGCAGGGATGAAAACACCTCATTCGGGGCTCTAAATTCCTTTCTCACATGGATTCTAGATTCAAGAATTTCCATGCAAATCACTTTTTCCCCCTCATATGAGAGTAATAAATGTTTAATTTGGAAAATTTAGAAAATAGTTATGCAAAAAGAAGAAAATCTAAATCTCCATAAACCGATGCCCAGAGATAGACACTCTGAATACTTTGAGGTCATTTTTCTCCCATGAAAATATACACTTATTTTTAAAAAATGAAAGCACACTTGGGGAGCACTGAAAACAATTTAATACAGAAAGTATAGAGTAATCTAACAAGCATACCTGCACTGTTCCCCTGCAGCGCTGATGAATGCCAAGTGTGTGTGTGTGTGTGTGTGTGTGTGTGTGTGTGTGTGTGTGTGTGTGTGTGTGTGGAGTATCTCAGATAAAGTTACCAACCCCTTGGCTTCTCTTTGCGATTCCACTCACCCTCCTCTTTCCCCAAGAGTAATCAATAACATGAATTGACATGTCTGTCTCCTTCCAGGCTGTGTGTGTGTCTAGTGTATGTGTTTACATTATTTAAATAAAAGGTAGGATCTGTGCAGATTGATCGGAAACCTGTTACTTCCCGTCTACAGTATTTAGATCTGTTAGATTTGTTACTGTTGATACAAGTAACACTAGCTGGTTTGCTTAAACAGCTGGTAGCAGTCTGTTGTATGTATATTTCACTTATGCCTCTTTTTTTAAATTTAGGTTGTAGCCAATATTTTACTATTACAACCATTGCTGCAAGGAAATCCCCATTGCAAGTTCCTACGTGCCCTCCTTCAAGGGTTTCTTAAGATGTGTATGCCGAGCTAGAATGGCTGGTTGAAGGGTATCAGTATGTCAAGATGCCAGGGACTTCCACATTTCTCATCAGTGCTTGGTACTGTCAGGCTGCTTACATGGTTGCCAATCTAATGGGCTAGAAACCGCCTTTCCCTCTGTTTCATTACCCTTCTTCCCATGATCGCCTGTGAATCTAAGCCACACGCTGTTTTGTAACTGCTTTGTGCACCTAATGCATCTTGAACACCTTCTCAACATACATAAATACTCTCGTGCATAATTTTAAAGCATAGTGTTTTGTATGCCAGTGCCACTGTTTATGTAGCAAAGGGCCCACCATCGGGCATTTACACGTACGTTCCCGAGAGTTTGCCGTTACAATGGCACCCAGGAGCTCTTGCAGCAGAGTACCGAAGAGGGCAGACTTCTGCGTCAGCTAAAACCCGGCGTTGCCTCCAGGACCCACCACTTGCCAATCCTGCAGCCCTGGGCAGGCCCCTTGGAGGGAACCAGACCACCAGTGCCCCGCTGGGGTCTCACGGGGCAGTAGGGCCCCTGACGCCAGCTACGGTCTGAATCATGAGTCTACCATTTACCAGCTGTGCACCCTGAGGAAAGTTCTCCAACTCTCTGGACCTGTTTCCTGTGTGTAAAATTGGACATGATAAGAACAGGACCCAGCTCAGAGGGTCGTTGGAAGGAGGAGGCGACATAGTGGATGATGGTTTCAGCCCAGCCTGGCGTACAAGGGTATCTAGCATCCTTTAGGTGCCCGCCCTTCAATCTAATTGGAATAAAATGGAATTGGCACCGAAAGGGACCATCATGGCCACGTCTGATTTGCCCAGATGGAGAAAGTGAAGCTCGGAGGAATTAGCGATTGGCCCAAGGTTGCACACTGTGTTGCTGTCAGGTCAATTTGTGGAAACACCAGGAGAGGGCGGCCCCCGGGGGCTTTCTCGGGCGCCTCCTGCCGAGTCACGAGAGGAAAGCCGGAAGGCCAAGAATCCGTGAAGTCTCATTCCGTCTACGCGCTCCTTCCATGGAGTCCCAGGATGGTTCTCCCAAGGGATGGCCCCGCAGACACTCTGGGGCTGCAGATCAGCTCCAGGGCACTGCAAGTGGGTGCTAACCTGCGGTTCCGAGCATCTCATCACCAAGCTGGGGATGCCAGCGCCGGGGAGGCACAATGCTCTGTGCTCTGCTCACTGCCAGGAAACGGGGGGGCCTGATCAGTGACTGTGGCCACTAATAAACCAAAAGCTCTAATTGTCTGTCAGAGAACCCCCGGGGGGTGGAGGGTGGGCATGGGCTAAGATATGCAAGTCGCTGGGCAGCATGTAACCCTTCGTGACCCCAAACATCTTGTCGCTGTTCCCGTGATTTGTTATCTCACCTGGAGCAGGCTGGGGCCACCTCACCTCGTGGCTGCTCGGCCTGGGCCAGGCCAGACAGCAGGGGCGACAGGCAGGGGGCCGCAGGGGACACTGCCACAGCCTGGACACACAGAACCGCAGCGGGAGGTCTTTACTCTCCTGCCCCTTTTCTTTCTCTGTTCCCTCCTGGAGTAAGTCTTGGGCTTGCGTCACTGAAGCACAAGACAGGGACATTTCTAAAAGGCAATAAATACCGTTTTCCTCTCAGGGTAAATCTTGGGTATCAAGATTATCCAAACATAGGAATATAACCAATGAGATTTCTGGAGATTCTTCTCAATCCTACGTCTACGATATCTAAGAAGATATTCTAAAACTTTCTAAACCACTAGACATCTCAATCCCTGTCAGTGCCTTTCCCCATAGTCACAATAATGACAAGTGCTGGGACTCTTATTTTGATTAAGCTGAGAAAGTCTCTCCCTTTCAGGACCCTTCTAGAAGAAAAAAGAACACGTACATATAAAAAATGTGTGTGTATATATATATATATAAAATTGATTTCATGTATAGATTCTATTATATATATGTGTGTATATATGTATGTATATTTATTTATGTATTTATCTAATTGTTTCATTAAGAAACTCTCTGGATTCGAAAGCAACTTCGGAGTGATTGCTAAAAATACATTAAAAAGCCAACATGTTTTATGTGCCCACACTAAGTTTGCAATACTTTCTAAGCTAGTCCAGTTGAGAGTTGCATCCCAAACCAGAGTTGGGAAGCTTGAAAACAGAGGGCAGGTGGCCATGGCGCTGGGGCCCAGTCCTGGGGAGGCCAGAGCGGACGGTGACACAGAGGTCGGGGGCAGAGGCTGACCCTGGTGAGGAGGAGGGAAGGAGTCAGGTGACCTTCGGATGAGAAGCTTGTCTCCAGGGAGCAGGAAGCTAAGGCAGCTAAGTCCATGGCCTCAAATTTTCTTCCTGTAGAGACTGAGCCGGGTTCCGGCACCTCTACCCTGTAGCTGGTGAGGGGGAGGAAGGAAGCTTCCAAACACATGTGACCAGGCTTTGGGAAAGTACTGGGGAGTGCAGGAAAAAATCCTCTGTTCCCTCTCCCATGCAGAGAGGTTCTGATTCTCCCTCCCGTGACTCTGAGCTGGACTCGGTGACAAGTGTGACCTGTGGATTGTGGCAGAGGCGACGTCACCTAACGCCGGAGGCTTGATCAGAAGACATGTGCCTCGGTCTTCTTGAAGACTCGCTCTGGGGGATGTCAGCCGCCACAGAGGCCATGCCACCCCCTGAGACTGCCATGCTGGAGAGGCCCCACTGAGGGTCTCAACAGTCCCCGCGAGCCCAGCCGTGCAGCTGTCCCCCCCGCCCCCGAGGCACCAGCCAAGTGGGTGAAGCCATCTGGGTCCCTCCAGACCATGCGGTGGTTGCACCTACCTGACCTTAGTCAACGTCACATGAAGAGAACTGCCCCTCCAAGCCTGCCTGAATTCGTGGCCCCCCAAAAATAGAAACAATAAAATAGCGGTTTTGTAAACCACTAAAGTCGGTTTAACATTGTTCAGCAGCCATAGGTCACCAGAACAAGTAATATCCACTAAAGCTGAACATACCCACATCCTATGACCTACCAATTCCACTCCTGGATAAATGTCTAACCACATTTACCTTTATTTGCACCAAAAGACATACACAAGAAGGTCAGAGCAGTCCCAACACAGTCCCAAACCAGAAAGAACCCAAAAAGGGCAAGATGAGAATTATCCGTCTGCTCGATTGGGCTGGATGGAGCCAGAAAGGAGCAAGGGGAAGGTGTGGCGGGGAAGCCTAGACGGGCTGCTTGTGGGCTGATTAGGGGAACTCCCAGTTAGGTACATTTTTTTTTTCTTTTTTTAGGTAAGCTCTACATGCAAAATGGGGCTTGGACTCATGACCCAGAGATAAGAGCGACTGAGCCAGCCAGGAATTCCGGATTAGGTGGTGGCAGGGCACTGTGTATGACGCGAACCAGCCCCTGGACGAGGGAGCACCCCCAACCCCATCCCGTTCGTCCGCAGCCCCTCCCCGAACTAACCCCATCTTCCTTATATGTCTGCGTTCTCAGCATTGCAGACTCGCAGTGTGCGGGGCCTTGTGCGGGATGATAGGAGAGAAGAAAACAAGGAAACAGAGAGAGAGACCCAGGCCAGGGCTGGATGTGACTGACATTTCAATTCCCACAGTGTCCAGGCCGGTGCATAGGAGGTGCTTCAAACCTTTTCTTTTTAAAACCGAAGAGGGGGAGTAAGCCAGAGCTAGTTGGGTTTAGGAGGTCCCCCTGCGAGGTCACCTGGAGCTGCTGTGAACCTCCCTCCGTGTGCAGTCAGGTTAAAGGAGACTCGCCTGTGAGAAACTAGCCCCGGTGCCCTCTCGGTCGGTGGACAGAAGCCAAGGTCTGTGGACAGCCTTCAAAGGCTGACGCCCCTTCCCCAGCATCCCAAGATGCTGCCATCATGATCAGCTCCAGGCACAGTGGGCCCATCTAATAATGCAGCACCATAAAAAGGCAGGCGGATCAAGGGGGGCAAGGTGGAGTTCTGGAGGCTGAGGAGGGAGTTCAGCTGACCCCACAGGTAGAAGGAAATACGCAGTAGGTGCGTGGCATCTTACTGGGTCTACCTACTGGGCCTGCTTTTGTGCTCTGGAGGCAGGACCTCTGGGCCTTCGAGAGCCAGGGTGCCCTGAGTCTGGGCAGAGCTGAGCTGGGAAGCCCCTCATCTGTCTGCTTCCACCGCAAGGGCAAACCTCTGTGATCCACATCCCCCTGACCAGCTGTAATTTAGAAATTGTGCGTGGTTTAGAAAGTGTATGTGTACACGTACACACATATACACACATGTGCACGCGGTTAATAGAATGCAAATTGTGCCTTGGCATCACTGATCTTAATGGTAATGAAGTATCTTTTATTATATAAAAGATTAGAAATTAGAGGGGCGCCTGGGTGGCTCAGTCGTTAAGCGCTGCCTTGGGCTCAGGTCATGGTCCCGGGGTCCTGGGATCGAGCCCCGCGTCGGGCTCCCTGCTCCGCGGGGAGCCTGCTTCTCCGTCTCCCACTCCCCCTGCTTGTGTTCCTGCTCTCGCTGTGTCTCTCTCTCTGTCAAATAAAATCTTTAAATAAAAAGATTAGAAATTAGAAAAAAATAGTTACAATTAGAAATGTGCAACTAGGGGCGCCTGTGTGGCTCAGTTGGTTAGGCGACTGCCTTCGGCTCAGGTCATGATCCTGGAGTCCCGGGATCGAGTCCCGCATCGGGCTCCCTGCTCGGCAGGGAGTCTGCTTCTCCCTCTGATCCTCCTCCCTCTCATGCTCTCTGTCTCTCATTCTCTCTGTCTCAAATAAATAAATAAAATCTTAAAAAAAAAAAAAAAGAAAGAAATGTGCAACTAATATCGTGTGTGATTGGGAAGGGGGGTCTTGTAACTCTTAAAGGCTCAGAAACATAGCCTAGTGCAGGCATAGACACTGAGAATTCCAAATGAAGGGGGAAAAAATATCTCACGTGTGGGACTTCTCCATGCCAATAGAGGGCGCCCCTTACCTTTACAAGCGTCCACCAGTTTGGGGGGTTTTTTTGGAGGGGGTAGGCAAGACCCTGAGATATATTTAGTGTTTGTTTTGTTTTATTTTGTTTTGTTTTGCTGTAGACTAGGGCATTGGGTGTGTGTGTGGAGGGGGGGTAATTGGTGGCTAAAAAATTAACAAGTGAATATTGCCAAAATGCCAAATCCCTTTTGGGTGGAATAGAGCTTAATCAACTTTCTCTCTCCACTTAATCCCTAGGTCTGCCTAGATTGACCTAAAGTCCTTAGCCAGGTCCCCCCACCCTTGGCACAGAGCTAAGAGTTTGGGTTAACAGACTGGGTCGTTGTATATTTCCATTTCCCACACAAGTGTGCGTTTATGTGCGACCCACTACACTCGAGGGAATAAGCAATTCTATGAAAGCCCACTAGAGGGAGCCAAATGACTGCTTTAGAACCATTCACCGCAGGGTTCCTCTCTGGGAAAAGGCTTTGGTAACATTCATGGACATACCCTCCTTCCTCCCCTTCGCTTCCCCTCCCCGGAGATTTAAAAACTCAGAAGTAATCCTAGCACTAGAAATGCATATTCTGTTTTTATTGCTTAACAACTCACTTTAAACAAAAAAATAATTCTGCTGCAGTAAAGCATTTAACAGTGTGGAGATTCTCTGCCCTCTTAATAAGGAGTAGAATCATTGAAGAAATCTTGCCTTAGGAAGAAAATTAAATTGTGGATGCATAGTGAGGAATAAATTCAGCCAAGTATATTGGTGGGCTAGGAGTTGAGGGTGGATGTGAGAATGATTTATGATTATAAACAATTTACCCAACTGAGTTGATTGCTTTTCATATATTCTCAACTAACAGCATTTTATGCATCTGTTTTATTGTTATTATCATTATTATTTTTTAAAGATTTTATTTATTTATTTGACAGAGAGAGACACAGCAAGAGAGGGAACACAAGCAGGGGGAGCGGGAGAGGGAGAAGCAGGCTTCCCGCCGAGCAGGGATCCCGACGTGGGGCTCGATCCCAGGACCCTGAGATCATGACCTGAGCAGAAGGCAGACACCTAATGACTGAGCTACCCAGCTACCCACAAATAATCTTTTTTTTTTTTTAGGATTTTTATTTATTTGAGAGAGAGAAAATGAGAGAGAGAAAGCACATGAGAAAGGGGACGGTCAGAGGGAGAAGCAGACTCCTTGCTGAGCAGGGAGCCCAATGCGGGACTTGATCCCAGGACCCTGGGACCATGACCTGAGCCGAAGGCAGACGCTTAACGACTGAGCCACCCAGGTGCCCCTGTTTTATTGTTATTATTATTATTATTATTATTATTATTATTATTATTGAAGTACAGTTGGAATACAGTATTGCATTTGTTTCATTAGAGTAGGACAGAGATATTTGACAATTCTGTACATTACACTATGCTCACCACAGTAAGTGTAACCATCTGTCACCATAAATGTGATTACAATATCATTGACTATTTAAGCATCTGTTTTAGAGAGGACTTGACCATGAATTTTTCTTCTTAGCTCTGCATTAGGAACTGCCTAGACAAATGCATCTTTCCTGCATCTGTCCTGCTTCAGACCTAGGAGACTGTCTGTTGAGATCAACAGCTTTCTCCCGTTGGCATTGCCTGTGACCGGGCACTCAGCATGCCAGGAACTGCTGGGGAAATGGGGTATCTGAATGCCAGCCGAGTTCTTTTAAAATAGACTCCCTTACTGATACCCAACCTCACCTTTCTATCCACAGCCTGGGGCTAATGGGTCCTTCTTCTGAGACCCCACACACTGTTACATATTACAGCTCCAATTCCATTATGTAGTTATTTAAATCTGACTTCCTTACAAAGCCGTCAGCATCTTGAGGAAAGAATCTGGTCTTGATTTTCTCTGTAGCCTCAGAACCCAGCAGAGTGCAAGGCACATCCTAGGACTTAGTGTTTGTGGAATATATAACATCTTTACGAACAGAGTGTAAAATAAGAAAGAAGAGAAAATGGGTATTTACTATGTGCTAGCCTGGCTCTAAGCATTAGATACATGTTAACTCATTTAATCTCCAGAAATAACTTATGAAATAGGTACTACTATTTTTTTAAGATTTTATTTATTTACTTGAGAGAGAGCTATCAAGAGACAGCGAGAGAGGGAGAGAGAGAAAAAGAGAGAGCACAAGTGGGAGGGAGGAACAGGTTCCCCACTGAGCAGGGACACCCCCCCCGAAGTGGGACTCCATCCCAGGCCCCCAGGATCATGACCTGAGCCAGACAGACACTTAGCCGACTGAGCCACCCAGGCACCCCATGGGTACTACTATTATCTGCATTTTAAAATTGAGAAAACTGAAGTGATTGATAAGGATTAAGTAATTTTCCCAGGGTCCTAAGTGGTATAAACTGGGGTTTGAATCCAGAAGGCCGATGCCAGAGCCAGCACGCTCAGCCACAGTACCACAAACAGCAGCAGCCGGGAATTAGAGAGAGGGGGGCTTTGCAGATCCTTCCCTGCTTACTGCCCACACATTAAGGTCACAATTGCAAAACACCTGGAGTAGAGCAACATGCAACTTACCGTCAGCCTTAGGTGGGGCCAAAGGCTACACTGCTATAATGAGATCCCCTCCCTTCAAAAGAAATACAGTGGCTGGAAGAGAAGAAAACCACTTGTTTCTGACTCCTGTAATAGTCTGGAGCGAGCGTTCCAGGCCAGTGGGCAACTCTACCCATGTGGTCATCCAGGGCCCGGGGCTCTTCCGTCCTGTGGCCCTGCTGTTCCCAAGGGCCTTGTCCTCTCTGTGGCTGGGGCGTGGCCACACTGCGTGCAGGTCACACCCAGCAGGAAGGTGGAAGAGAGCACGGGCAAGGCACACTCCCCTGTCCCAGA